TAACATATTTAAAGTATGAAAGACCTAGCCCTTACTGTTCAATTGTTATGTCCAATGTTTTTTCGTAAGTATGGAAATGTCCAAGATCAAGGTCAAAATTGTTGGTTTGAAATGAAAGGACTGTTGCCACAAAGAATTGATATTTGAAATATGAAATTCTTAGTACATGTAACTACCGTTTAAAAATTACAGCCAAAGAAAAATTTTGGATTTTTTGTGTAAAATAAGGTCAAACTCGAAGGTAAAGGGGTCAAGAATCTTTATATCAAATGATAGGTCTTGTCACAAGGATTGAATACTTGAATTATGAAAGCCCTTGTTCTAACCTTTCAAAAATTATGTTCAAAGTTGTATTTGAAAAATAGGTCAAACTCCAAGGTCAAAGGGTCAAAGTTCTTGATATCCAATGAAGCCCCTTATCACAAGGATAACATACATGTATGTGAAGTATAAAATCTCTTACTGTTCAAATGTTATGACCAAGGTTAAAGATTTTTCATAAGTACGGAAATCTCCATGGTCAAAGTCAAAAGGTCAAAGTTGTTGGTACTCATTGAAAGGTCATGCCACAAAAAATGCATATAATAAAGTATAAAAGTCCTGGTACCTACTGTTCAAAAAATATGGTCAAAGTAAAAGTTTAGAATTTTTGGTAAAAGTGGGTCAAACTCCAAGGTCAAGACCAAAAGGACAAATTTGGTGATACCCAAAGAAAGGTCTTGTCACAAGGAATACACATGTGATATATGAAAGTCATAGCTCCACTAAATCAAAAGTTAAAAGCAAGGTTAAAGATTTGTGGACAAATACATAAACAGCTAGACGGAGGGACAGCTAGACAGACGGACGGACACAACAAAAACTATATATCTCCGAAACTTTGTTTACGGGGGCATAAAAAAAACTGGAGTCATCAATCCCAATTTGCTTCAGGCCAGCAAGCTACAGATGTGCAGCAAGGAACTTCTATTGCCTCGCTATATAAAGAGCCATCTTTTCAGTTGCTAGCCCTCTCAAGCAAGCACTAGCAATTACAATAGTCTTTTTTAAAAGGATACACATCCTCAGCATCACAATACTGCATTCTGATAATACTACTTTACAATAAACTGTATTATGTAAATTCTGTTATATCATCAGAAAATACATATTATCTGAAGTTCCCTGTTTTGTTGTTTTACCTGTTATACCATGTACAACAAGATGCGTTTGTGAAACACTGATGCCCCCATGTGGCAACATAACGAAGATTAAACTTTTCTTAAATGCAAATTTAATATATTGGTATCCAAAGAGGGGTATTACAGTTGTGAAATATAATTTTTTTTTTTCATAAGTATGGAAATGTTTAGGGTCAAGGTCAAAAGGCCAAGGTGTTCGTATCCAATGAAATGAAAGGTTTTTCCACAAAAAATACATATTTGAAGTATAAAAGTCCTGGTATCTATTGTTCAAAAGATATGGCCAAAGATAAAGTTTGAAATTTTTGTGTAAAAGCGGGTCAAACTCCGGTCAAATTTGGTGGTACTCAAAGAAAGGTCTTATCACAAGGAACACACCTGTGAAATATGAAAGTCATAGCTCCACTAAATGAAACGATATGGGCAAGGTTAAAGTTTTTGCGGACAAACAGGCAAACAGACAGCAAGTGGTGGCGTCTTCATAAAAATGAAAAATTCTCGAGAGGAACGTTAACAACATACAATCAATCAATCAATCTTCCATTTCAAAGTACAGCGATTGATTTCCAGATACTTTCAAAACCAATAGACCTTTTCACAAAAAATGTCTTAAATAGATTCAACCCTTAGAGAAACCTTTACGGGTCTCACAAAAATTCCTAGAGGTTCTTGCCTGGAAAATTTAACAAAGCTTTATGAGAGCCTTTATCTTTCACGTAGAATAGTAGCTACAGAAGTGCAGCTCTCTGCTTGAGAAAATTCGGAGTCGGACTGATAACGAAAGCAGAGAGCTACTGATCCTAGCGTTGTAAAAACCTTTAAATTTACGCCGCCGATTTTTTGTCGCTACTTCAGGTAATTTATTTCGTGAAGTTTAAACTTTCTCCGGCTTTTAGAATTGTATCCTATAATTAATTACATGTATATTTTTAACTCTTTTTTTTTTAAAAATAATTTATTAAAGTTTATTTACTTTTTAACAGTCCGAACAGTCCTGTATATAGTTTTGTAGTTTCATAGTTTGTCGGTTTAAAAGAGTTCCGTTTTGACGTCCGTAACCAAAAACAGCAATTTGTTGGCGTTGAATGGTAAGTAAAGTATCAAGAATTTAAGTTAAATGTATGATTATAATCATAGTTATATTTTAAAACCGAGGGAAGTATAAAAAAGAAGCAAAAATACCCGACGTGAGCGACAAAAGATCGTCGGCGTAAATCGAAGGCTTTTACAACGTTAGATCTGTAGCTCTCTGCTTTATCTGTCCGAATTTTCTCAAGCAGAGAGCTACAGTTCTCCAGCTAATAGAATAGTACCTAAGCTACAATAATTCAATATCACGTTATTATATCCATGGTAATCATAAAAAATATAATTTCTGTAGAAGAAAAAATGCTGAAGATACTTGAATGACCAGTTAGTTTAGCCCATTAAGCAAAAACTGGATGGGGGCCAGGTACAGCTTTAGTGTACTTTGCAAACAAAAAGTTTGTTTTTTGGCCAGTGTGCAACTTATTACCATGGCAACCCAAGAATTAGTTACTCTGTGGAATCTTTTCATCAACAGAGATATTTTTATAAATACTACTTGTATCTATTTGTTTTTATTTTTCATTCAGAAGGCCATTTTTGGAAAATCTCATTTAAACTTACTATATAAATTACTGTATGTAAAAAGGTAAAGTGGTTACAAAATTGGTTGCTAGGTATTCAGAATTGTTGCCATGGGTTAATAAAGTAAAATTTACTTATTTCAAACCCATGTTAAATTGACAATTTGCCCAATTACAATTTTGAGAATAATTGTCGATTTATTTTAAAATACATATTTTAAAAGGGCTAAAAAATAACTGTTTTTGCATTGTTGCTAGGGAAAAAATCCTGTTGCCATGGAGATAAATGATTATAAATTATTCTTTCATTTTAAAATTATATGAGAGTTATTTTCTATTACTTGAAAAATTGTATCTGCCACAAAAAGATAAAAATTTATAAGATTTTTTACCCAACCCTTTACCATTTTTCACTTTTTAGTTATCAAAACATCCAATTTTGTTGCTAAGCAACGAATAGGATTTTTCAAAAAACCCACGCTTTCAAAGTCAATCTGTAAAAGAGAAAGTTCTCTACTTTTATGTGAAAGTCATGCAATATCTGTATTAGCTTGGTATTTTTTTTCAATTGACCTTGAATATTGTCGAAAACAAGGAAAATGCTGAATCAGCAAAAATGCAAAAATATACACATATTCTAATGTCTACCATAGTACTAGCTTCAGATAAAATAGCAATGTCTTGTGTGTTTTCAACAAATAAAGTGTGTGTCTTTATCATACCAGTAAATTAGAATTATTGTAAAAGTTTTTGTATATAATTTCAGGCTTTAAAGATCAGTGATTTTCAGTGCCTTCAAATAGAAAAATTGGCTGGTTGCTAAGGAAATTACTTTGATCAGGTTTCCATAGTAACCATGCTCCAACACATTTTTTATTTTACATACATGGATCATAGGTCAAGAGAAATCTATGTGTGGAAAATCATTGAATTCTGAGAACCTGAGTGAATCACCTTTTGCATGATTTTTATATGGACTGGTACATAAATAACAACGATAGGTGGCGAAAACCGGAACTACTTGAAATCATCTAAACTGCTTGAACTCCAGCATATTTTAATTGGAAAACTTCGATTATAAAGTATAACGTTTTGAACAAAATATTAATGTGGCTTGAAAGAGTAAATAAAGGCCTATTTATTTCAATATAGAAATCAAACCCAAGTCCTGCAAAAATAATTTACCGAGTGTTTTTCCCGTTACGATCCGGAACTGCTTAAATCACTGTACTTCTAATTGCAGATTGAAGGGTTTTTATATCTTAACATCTTCTGATGCATAAAAAATTGCATTTCCTTAAATTCGGACTTTCTTTATTGTATATTTGAATGGCTTTATTATAGCTATAATTTTTGTCTTTGATATACTAACCTTTCGTCTCCTGTGTCAACATATATATTGATTAAGATTCCAATTCGCCCATAAGGTAAGTACCCCCCAACCCCCCTCCCCCTCTTGAAGCCACAGAGCTGAAATCAATGCACCTTAGCAGTATGTAGAATATTACTGAAAATTTGTTGACCACTTTGTATCCTGTAAGTATCTAGTATATACAGGGCTGTGCAAGAATTTAGGCATCCTCGAAACATCAGGGTTTTAGGGGCTGGCTAAAGCGGTTAAATTTTTGTTTTATCCGTTGACCGATCACATTTAGCCCCCTTTGATCATATGACAAACAACCATGCAGTAAGCATGTGCAGAGTCGACTGATTATTTTTATGTCAACATGCGAAAGCTTCTTGGTCCGCAAAAATAAATGATATCAGGGTAATCCAGGGTCCTGTCGCTATTAGGATATAGAATTTGGTAGATCTATTACGCCTATAACTGTTGTTCGAGATATTTCTTGCAAAATTAACAAAACTAATTATGATACCGAGAACCTTGCCTTTCAAAAACATTTATACACTGTTTATATAAATTAAACTGTCAATTAAGTTTTGTATCTGTACTCGTCAACCGTATATTAAACTTTTCTATTAAGAACTAGTCTGGTCTGAATTAAGATTAATTTTAAAAAGTTCTCATTAAAAAAGGGAGGGTGTTTGAATAAAAAGAGCGTGATTTTGGCTCATTCACTTGTAAAGCGCATTATAAATCAATAAAAAATTACAACAAAATAAATTATAAATCCTTTAATATCTTTTAAAGTTATAAATGTATACATATACAAGTAATCAACAGATCACAGACCCATCCCATTTTCTTTCACATTAGCATTTGTCGCTTAATTGCGTTCACCATATTAGCCTTCTCGCCTAAATAATCTTCTGGATCCTCTATTTCGTTAGCTACAGAAATAGCCACCACTCCTGGCATAACATTGGGATCCGCCACTTCTTTTTTCTTCGCCTGATTTGGTTTCTCAGCTTTTTCAGGAGCCACTTTATTCTTACGAGACGGAGTTTGTATAATTCTCGTTTTCCTTACAGGCGCTTTTTGGAGATGGTAAAATGGATTGTCATCTTCTTCATCATTTATTCCCTCCTTTCTAAACAATATAAAGATGTGTCCGAAAGCACGGCAAGGAGGATAAATGCAACATCTCATACAACTTCTAAATATTCTGGTGAATAAAGAAAAAACAATTTCTACGCATTTAAAACAAGGGGTAATGCACCAGACATGTTGGAATGCTATTATGGCAAATTCACATCCCCACCATGATGCTATACATGGAGCAGTGAAGAAGGTGATCAGTTTGTAAATAAAGCCAATAAAACAGTCATAAAAAGTCCTGGAGAACTCCCATGTACAGTCTGCGCTCCTAGTCCCGTACGGCTCACCAAAGACGTGATAAAAACCAAACTGTTAAAAAAATATATATAAATAGATAGATGTTCACTTGTCATTTATATTTGAAGTATTCATTAATTAAATAACGTTATTTGAAGAAGAAAAAAAGAATTGAAGATTGCAAAAGGGAAAAGGGGGGTACCCGGTGCGTATTGGGGAAAACATCCCAAAAACATTTTTAAAAATATACTGTAGTTTAATCTTTAAAAAAAATAATAATAATGAAAAACTTCTTTCGTCTGTTTCAATTTTCCTTGCCTATATTTCCATTTTGAAACAACTCAAAAATTAATTAGTAAATAAAGATTTTAGCTTCCAAACCAATTACTCCTAGTTACTTTTAAAAGCATTGTAAAAATATTAGTGCCAGTATACATTTATTCATTTTTATTGTAGATTCTCCCAATTCCCAATCATTGTAGAAATTACATACTCGTATACCCATACATCTACCATAATGATAATGCATGTATATGTCTTTAGATATAATTTTTAAAAACTAATCAAAAGTTACTTTCCATAGTCTTCGGAATCAAAACGCAAAACATAATTTGTCATTATTTACATAGACCCTATTTATAATAAACTGGACAGTTTTCTCACCTTTAGTTGGTCGTTTATATGATTAGGGTCCCTGTCCTCCGCCGGCGCCCTCACGGGGGGTTTGCGGGGGCCGGGGGCCGCCGCGTGCTTCTTCGGCATTTTTTATCCCCTTCTTCGAAACTTCGGCGGATCCTTAGAATTTTACAGTTTTATCATAATTGCATTAAGTTATTGTAAACAAAATATTTACTTCACAACTTTTTTCACAGTCTGTCCAGTCTGTCGTAAATGCTCAATGAAGGAACGAAATGTTAATACCCTTATAACAGTTTTTAAATATCATGTATTAAGCGGCAGTGCGGGTGAAAGTTTTGTTACAAAGACAAAATATTACGATGGATTTGGGGTACTTAATCATGTTTAAATAGTTCAGATTTAGTTTGGCGTGATTAAGAGTTTAGCACTTGTGTATGTTTTGGAAGTGGTCGCTTGAGAGTTCATCCACAACTTTATTGTAATTGGTCTTTTCAGTACCCTATCATTCATGCGAGGATCATTGATTTCTTGTTTTTTAAAGCGGTGGTGGTGGGCATACGTGTATTTTTTTTTCATTTTCTTCGAGATCCATGCATGCACCATTTAAATAATCATGCATATTCTAAACCTGTCCACAATTCTTCAAATTTGTCCATTGCACTGTTCGATAGGTTTACATGTATTATAAATTTCGAGATGACATCTTTTAATGTTGACATATGTACATTGTGTGTGTGTGTGGGGGGGGTGCAACATGGGGGAGGGGGTGTTACGGTTTTCAAAACTTGAGTGAATTATTTGTAGTGAGGGGATTTTATTAAGCGTTATAATCTCCAGTCAGTTCATGAGAACCAAAAGATTTATCGTCATAACCCAGTATTAATCTAATTTTATTAAGTCACGACCTCGAAAAAATGTAAAACAGGTCAAATGCAAGTCAAACTTCCAGGTCAAGGCCAAAACGTCAATATTCTTGATATTCTAAGAAGGTCTTGTCACATGAATACACCTGTGAATAATAAAAACCCTAGTACAATCTGTAGTTATGACCAAGGTTAAAGATTTTTAGAAGTGGGCCAAACTCTAAGGTCAAAGTCAAATGGTCAAAAATATCAAAGTTTGTCACAATGAATACACATGTGCAGTATGAAAGTCCTAGCACTGAGTAAGCAAAAAATATTCATGGCCAAGGTTAGATAGTTGGTGATTTTTTTAAAAGTTGGTCAAACTTCAAGGTCAAATTCAAGAGGTCAAATTAGGTGGCACCCGAAGAAAGGTCTTGCCATAATGAATACACCTGTAAAATATGAAGGCCAAAACCCCAAGCACTCAAAAGTTTTAAGCAAACAAGGGTCAAGTTTCTGGGGCCAAACACGGACGGACGGACAGGGCAAAAGCTATATGTCCCCGAATCTTCGGTTACAGGGATGTGAAAAAAAAAATCAGATTTGAAACAAAAGAAAAAAATATATTTAACTGAAATAAATAGAACAAAACAAATGAATAAAATAAACTTTTATTCCTATATTATTGTAATATCTGATTCAACCACTCCTTAAACAAAATTTTTGAGCTGCACTGTAGATAAAGGCCCTTAGTGTTCCCACATTGCATTGCGGTATTATTGTGAAAAAGTGTTTCCGTTTTGTGTTGTAAGTGTGACAATTAACTTTTTCTCAGCATTTTCAGCCAAAAGGGTTTATATTGCTTTATTTTTCAGAAAGTTTGATAAATTTCCTGATTAGTGACACAAATATTTGTATTGTTTGTTTTGCACATAATTTTTATTTAGCGTAAACTTGTTCTGTATGCAATGCATGACTATCAGTGACAGTATCAGCGGTATGATGGCATGACGTTGTTATTTTGAGAATTTTCTTGTAAAAACTTTTTATATTGTGTATATCTGATAAGTAGGCAAAAAATAAGATAATAAAGGGTTCATTCGTCAAAAATCAATTTTCTTTTTTTAAGGGACTGTGGTTCTTTTAATAATGGATAATAAACTTGGTACAGATTGTTAATTTGTATATATAAAGTTACCAATGTTTCATTACATTGTTGTTTTATAGGTGTTACACATGAGATAAAACCGGTGACTTTTCCTGATAGACCTCCCTCCCCTTTGATGGGATGGCCTATCGCCGCCACAAACACCATCAGAAGACCGATCATAGTTACGACAGCAATAGTAGCGACACAGACTACTACTCCGAGACGGAAGACAGAAAGAAAACTTGTATAAAGAGTACCAGGTAATGCTGCAGTCTGAAAGCTCTAACATGTCCAAGAGTTGTAATTTATTATTGTATATACCATATTTGATAATAATCAAAAGAATATACTGTTATACAAGAAAATTTTACCCTTGTAGTGTGTAAGCCAAAATCATTTTAAAGCAGTGCCTTGATGGGAAAACATCCTTTACAAAGTGTGAAAGCTTTATTATATAAATGGTGCTTTTTAAATACAGATAAATCTGAGTAAATTTAAATAGGGACAAGTCCTTTAAAATAATGAAAGTGCGACAGATATCCTATATATGGTGACCTTTGCTTTACTGTTATTATCCGTCTCTGTGCGTCGTGCGTCGTCCGTTAACATTTGAACATTTTCATGTTCTTCTCTGCAACCATATGATTTCAACCAAATTTGGCACAAAGCATCTATGGGTGATATATAATAATATAATAATGTTGTTATTTATGTTTTAGCTGCCTTGGGGCCTGAGGGGTGGGGCCAAAACCACTGAAATTAGTGCAATCTTTGAAAATCTTCTTCTTTACTCCTGGACATCAAGCAGTCAAACTGTTAGCAACACACAGCATTGAGTCCTCTACCAAAATTGTGAAATTCATGGCCCTGGGGATAAGGGTTCACATAGTGCTGACAGCTAAAGTAGTATATAGTAAAAATGCATTATTTCTTTGAAAATCTTCTTCTCTGCTTTGGGGTATTAAATAAACCAACTAACTGCATAGTTATAATGAGCAAGAGTGCCTCCACCAAAATTGTGAATTTAATGGCCCCAGGGTCAGGGGTTCTGGTGTTAGGATGGCTGGTGAAAATACATGAATTCTTTGAAAATCTTCTTCTCTCCTAGGTATTAAATAAATAAACTAAGTGCTTAGTTAGAGAGGCTCACAAAGTTGTGAATTTTATGGCCCCAGGGTCAGGGGTTCTGGTGTTAGGTTGGGGCTCTGTAGATTATATAGAGAAAATACATGAATTCTTTGAAAATCTTCTTCTCTGCTCCTGGGTATTAAATTAACTAAGCAAGTGCATAGTTATGATGATGCAAGGGTGCCTACAAAAATTATCAACTTTATGGCATCAGGGTCAGGGTTCTGTATATTCTGATTATATAATTTTAAATAAATTTTAATTTTTTTCTTAGATTAAATAAAAATTAAGTATATAGTTGATGAACAGAATTTGTAAAATTGTGATATCATGTGTTTGAGTTACAAAATTTATTTTTTAAAATTTTCCTTTCTACTCCTAGGTATTACGCAGGTGAACATATCTATATAGTTATGATGAGAGAGGGGAATATGATCTAGCAGAATTGTGAATATCAAGGCCCCTGTGTGTTTAGGGCCATTCTGGTATATATTTTTGAATGTATTGTTTGAAATCTGCTCCTTGGTATTTTCAAATATTTTTTAAAAGCAAGGATGCCTTTTTAAAAATTGTGCAATATGTGGATCTAGGCTTTTAGGGTCAGGTGATATGTGTGAAAGGGGCAACTGATTAGTTGACATGCATTTTTTGTCCCCTAACCTTTGTTTGATTAAATTTTAAGCAACTGCTAAATGTATTGTTATAATGATCAATGGTGCCTCTTTCAAAATTGTGAATGCTATAGCATCTGGCTTTAAACATGAATCAAATTCAGTCACTGGAAAGTTGTTGCATAATGCTCAGGTGACCTATAAGGCCCATTACCGTTGTGTTACCCGTTGTCACGTGTGTTGAGAGGCTCAGGGTAAGCATGTGATTGTTAACTGCGTCCCAATCAGATTTTAGTATTTAACATGAAAGTATAATAATTAGACTTATGCATCATCAAAAATCTCGAATTTTACATGTTAGAATAGATGTCTTCTTTAGTGATTTTGCATGTAAAATCCAGTTGATATTTTTCTTATAGTATAGTTTTGTTATTATTTATTTTTTAGCTGCCTTGGAACCCCCAAATCTAAGCCTTGTCTAGTCAACAGGTCCAGAACACACAGCTTAGAGACTACCAGCAGTAATGATGACGGAGATATCCACATAATGTCTGACAGCGAAAGTAGTCACAGCAGGTGCAACATTCAGCCGCGCACCATGCTGGCGTGTGTAAAACAATAATTTTTGAAATTGCACAAAACAGTCTGGTGGCTGGTATGGCCAAGCTTAACTCCGGTGTTAGCAGCCCGAGGCTTGGAGAGAGGCTCACATTAGTTGTGGATGAGACGCGCTTCATTGTCGACCAAGATCTTTTTAGAGCACATCCAAACACCATGCTTGGCAGGTAATACATGTAATACTATATAAAAACTTTAAAAACTGCATCATCAAGGGTTCTGTATATTTCGGAATTTTTTTTAAAATTTGATTATAATTTAAATAAAGTACAAATTAAGACTTATGATTAAGATTTGTAAGTTAATAACGTGTTTGAGTTAAAATTTTATTTATTTTAGAATGTTCACATCATCCATGGAGAACAATTTAATACGTCCCAATGAGAGAGGGGAATATGAGGTAGCAGACGGCATATCTTCCTGTGTGTTTCGAGCTATTCTGGTATGAAGTTTTTAAGTTTCTCAAATTAATTCTTCTTCATTTTGAATAAAGCATGGAAGGATTTCTTTTTGAATTGTTGAAAAACTTTGTTCATTATGATATTTATAAAACTGTCCAAGTTGTGTTTTATCAAATGTTATCTTATTGTATTCAGGAGTACTACAAAACAGGAATAATTCGCTGCCCACCCAGTGTGACGGTGAGAGAGCTGAGGGAAGCATGTGATTATTTCCTGGTCCCGTTTGATGCCAGCACTGTCAAATGTCAAAACCTGAGTAAGACAATTATAGGTTATAGACAATTTTATATAATGCATAGAAGCTATCGAAATTTCAACAGAGTCGTTATGAATGTATTTTCCATCTGGAGCTGTTTACTGTGACTGTCAGTTACTGATGATAGTTTTGGAATTGAATAAAGGAGAACTTATTGAACAAGACATGGAATTAGAATGTTTTGTTGAAAAAGATGATATTTTTTTGCCAATTTAATGTTAAATTAGTTGAAAATTTTAAATATAAAAAAAGCAGTTTGATGCCTTTCTGGAGGAGTTACTGCTGCCACAGATGGTGCAGTGTGCTCAGGTAACAATAAAAACAGCTTATACATCTACTTGAATCTGACAATGCTCACTACTGTAAATCATTTTTATTCGTGAGAACTTTATTTTCGTGTAATTACAAGAGACAATTTCATTCTCGTATATAAAAGTATTCCTTATGATTATATAGAGGAATAGCAACAATATTATGTGTTGTATATCATTGAATTTTTTTGACACATACACAAAATTTACAGTATAGCTTTAATGTTATTTTGACACATACTGTACCTGGTACACAGAAATGTTTACGCAAGGGGATGTCTACTTAAAGTGTAATTTTTGTAAGAACTCTGTTTTTCTTTCAGAATGGAGACAGAGAGTGTCACATTGTGGTCCTGACAGATGATGATATTCTGGATTGGGACGATGACTATCCCCCACAAACGCTTGGCGAGGAGTACTCTCAGAGTATGTACATAGGAAAGCCGAATCTTACCATAGAGAGAAATCTAGAAAATTTATCAGTTTCACCAGAATAAAACAGTCTGAATAATGATCATGTATCTGTATATTAAAAGTGATTACATGCATCATACAAGATGTTATATAGTTTTGAAAAGATACAACAATTAAAACTAACTTGCAAGATTATAATTATATTTTTATAAAATTCTGTTCCATATGAATTGCATATAATTCATGTACATAATAATTTATGTAGGTTTTTAATGTATGAAATTTACCATACAATGTTTCTCTTCTTGTAGTTGTGTACAGTACACACTTGTATAGATTTTTCAAGTACATCGAGAACAGAGATGTGGCCAAACAACTGCTGAAGGAGCGAGGACTGAAAAAGATACGCCTAGGAATAGAAGGTAAGATATGCCTGTCAGATTACTTTAAACCAACTATTATTCATCTTTTATTCGTGATTTCATTTCGAAATCAATCGGCGATAATAAATTTTTGCACTGAGGAAACATTCTCTACAAATACTTATCAAATTCATTGGTTCATGGCGATTTCTATTTCGCAAATAAGACTTAATGTTAGATCAAGTGGGATTAATATTCTCGCACGCGATTAAAAGTGTGGTTTTGGTGTAATCATGTATTACACAAATTGTGCAAAAAAAAAACCGTCAATCTGAAATTCTCTGATGTTCATTTTAAAGAAACTGAATTTAAATTTGACAATTAAGTTTGAATTTATTGTTTATATAAGGTGATTTCTTTTTAAGAAAAATATTTTTGCGAATGCAATGAACTTGCAAATTTGCTAAAAATTTATCTACAGCAAAAATTTCCAGATTTACGGTATATAAATGATTAATTAGCGATAATCATAAATTAGTGCATTGTTAGTTCCTGTTCAAAGTGCTACATTGAAACTTTTAAAAGTACACATACTTATATGTATATGTATGTGTGAATAAAATTTGTAAAAAATTTTCTTGTATTTTCTCTTAATTGTTCAATTCAAAATGCATAAATTACTATGGATATGATTTAGAAATCCTTTGTCAACTGTTCTAATTGATTCAAGCAAAGCTAAATTACAGTAAAGTATTCTTGAGAAAAATCAACTTCAGACTACAAGTTAATTATTATAAAGAATTATAATAATTTTTCAGTTATATACAATTATGTCCAAAGACCCTTTATCCGCATGTCGTGGGAAAAAGAAGAAGCCAAGAGCCGCCATGTAGATTTCCAGTGCGTGAAGAGCAAGTCCTTATCCAATTTATCCTCTGTGGGGGACACAGCCCCTCCCGACCAAGGCATCGTCCAACAGCAACAAGACGGGAGCATCCATGTTATTCCTCCCCAGCCCTCCCCATCCGAACCCTTCCCCCAGGTCCAGCTTCCTCCCGAGGGGGATGCTGACTGACTGAAGGGGGGCGGGGGTCAGGCTAGCTAAGAACTTTACCATATATATAAATTGAACTCGTTTTATCCAGCAGAGCACCAAAAAATCCAAAGCTGTAAACAGAAAATCAATCTGTTTGTGTTCAAGGTAATTCATTTTGCATGCCTGGCTATTTTCTTAGTGATTCAAAATGTATGAATTTTGTTATTTGTACATTTATAAGAAACTGTACATATTTTAATTTCTATGATGATTTTAAAGTATTTTTGTGGATACATGTACGTTATTAAATTAAAAGTTATGTGCACTAGGGGGCAAATATTAGATAGAGAGATATTTGTATTTGTGAAACATATCATCTGAAATATAATGATATTATTCTACATTTATTGTTTACCTGTTTTGTGGACATCAGATATGGACAATTACAAAATCAGAACTGGAGTTCTTATATCAATAGGTTAGTCTCCCAAATAATTTTGAGATATTTTGAAGGGTATTTTTCATGTTCAATCTTGGTTATCAGTGAATCGTTCATGGTGACCTATAAATGGTAAGTAAATGTGTAATTGGTTGTTAATTTCCTAGTGCTTAAAATATGAAACTTACATGGTGATAACTGAATATTTTCTGTGCAATTAGAAATCAGTGTCTTACATACTTTTCTTTTAAGAATGTGTACGTCAACAAATTAAGTGTGAGCAGTTTAATACTTGATTTAAATATGTACATGAGGGCTGTCATTAGTAGATTCAATATCATTTTCAAGTATAATTATTGATTCAGAATTTGTTACTGTAATATTATTGATTCATTGTTCCAGTTTACAAAATTTGATATAACGTAGACATGTTTGATATAATTTAACGAAGATTTGGGATAATTCCTGACAGGATTTAAGGATTTGATAAAGCAGGTTTAAATGCTAAGATGCTGTTGTTTTACAAAATTTATATACTTTTGGCAATTATTATTTAAAATTTGAACAAATAAATGAAAATTTATAGATTTTATAATTAGGTACATGTACTAAATACCAGTATTTGAGTCTCGCACAAAAAAATCACACAATTAAAAAAATCACATTATACCTGTATACAGATAAATCACACATCTATAGAAAAATTATCGAATCTTTCCTCCAACTTTGGGCATTTCTTGACTAGCATGGGACTGAAATTTTTTATAATGAGTTGAAACTCTATAAGAAAGCTTCCTGATAGTATAAGAACTATTCAAATTTTGGGCATTCTTGATTTTGTTGGCTTCTGTATTTATTAGACCTAGCACTTTATCTTCTTCAAGCACCTACTCGCTTCCATTAATACTGCCTAATCAAAATTTTGTATTATTAGTAAGAACAAATAGAAGAGCAAAATTTAATATTGCAGTGAATCAGTTTACTGTGTGACATGTTTGTTTTAGGCATGTGTAATTTTATTTAAGTATAACAGACATTTTTCATGGTCTTCGCAAAGACTACAATGGTGAGTTGTATGATTGAATATTTAATTAAGTATTTCTGAATGTCTGTGCTCTTAGTCACTTTAGGCTTTTATTATTTTTTTGAACAAATGGTACATGCACATGTATATCAGTGTGGAAAATCTCATTTATGACAGCCCTATAGTTGTAATTAATATGTAAGCTTTATTTTTGTGCGACCTCACCTGCCCAGATTCCTGTAATCTGTGTAACTTATAACTTACAATGATGTTGTCATTTATTTGTGCTGAAAAAATGTGTTTGTAACTGCTCTCTCACATTTTCTCCAATAACTGATCAATTTTTGGATTTTAACTTTTCCATATTTTGAAAGAATCCTTTGGTATATTCCTAATTTTTTTTTTTCTAAACTAACACTTACAAAAAAGTCTCTTGCAATTATAACAATACTATTTCAGAGAGATTGAATGGTGGTATGATTTAAAATTTTGATAAGTTCTTGATAATTTCCAAATTTTCTTATTTAAGTATGTCCAAGTAGTTTTAAATGTTATTGGAGAAAATGTGTTTTTAGAAGAAAACCCGACCAGATTACTGTGATAAAAAAGTTTATATTTTTCTTATTTTTGATTTTGCTTGTGATTGTTCAAGCAAGGTTCTTCTGAGATGAACAATTTTGTATGTAATTTGTTTTCATCATAATGATGGATGTGGACTGGCTTACCTGTGCTCAGAAAACTATAGCATTCCTTGGCTTTTTGTAAAGCTTTACTTGGCAAACAGTGCATGGGGTGAATGAAATTCATATATGAAAACAAAGAGTTTTTTATAAGCTAAATAAAACAGATTACATTAAATATACTACCTCCCAATTAATAGTAACTCGAAGAAATATGTATACACTCAAGGATAATTTTACTTTTAGGTATACTGAGATGCAAGTATAAAGCTTAATTTTCCTGGCATTTAATGGTACATGCACAGTATTCAACCACATGATAATTACATTAACAATTACAAAACAATAAAGCATTTCAGGGTATTGTCAAAAAGGCAAGGTGGTTTTTCAGTTAGAAAATTCTTGGTGTTATGAAGTATGTATGTCTTTAATACATGTACTGTTACATTTACAGGGATCTCAGAATGTTTGTATATTTCTCTGATGCAGCATGATGAAAATCTAAATTTTATGGCAAAGTCAGTAATTAATGCACAATATTTAAATTGTAAGTGCTTTGGTAATCCATCAGCAGATACAAACTACATGTTACTATATTTTATGTTAGAAATCAATTATATTACATACTGTAATTTTTTGTTTGAATTGCATATTAATGTCTCAGTAATTTTAAAATTAAACATATCCACCATTGTAGCAATGAGAGTTGCTGTCATATAGAATTTGAATTTTTCTGTACATGAAAGGCCTGATTTTTACAGTGTACAAATTCAGTGAATATAAATAAAAGTATTTTGAAGAGTTTTACATGTAATGATTCTGATAGTTAACTACATGTAGTTCCTAGAAAATTCAAACTTTAAAAAATAATGGCAATGACAGATTTACCTGGTTAAAGGTACATGTAGTTCATGATTGTGAATATTTTCCTTGTGATTTAAGTTTGAGCTCACCTGAGCCAAAGGTTTGAGTGAGCTTTTCTGATCGAAGTGTGTCTGGCATCAATATTTTGTGTAATGTGTAAAGTTTTTACATTTTTTACTTCTTCTCCAGAACACTAGGCCAATTTCAACCAAACTAGCCCCAAAGCACCCTTTGATTAAAGGGATTTAAGTTTTATTGAATTAAAAGGTCATACCCTTTTTCAAAGGGAGGTCATTAAGAATTAATTAGTCAAAATTTGCTAGCATCGTATAAATCTTCTTCCCAAGACGCCTTGGCCAAAAAAAAATAACATTAATGAGGGCTTCCTCTCAGCAAATCCATGTCAGTCATATTGAAATTGAAGCATCCCACTAAGTGAAAAAAAAACAGCAGGACAAGGATGACTCAGGTGAGCATTGTGGCCCATGAGCCTCATGTCAATTTGAAAATGATTTGTATTTTCAGAAATAGTAAATAATTTATATACATGTATATGGTGTTATTTATGAGATAATTCACTGAACAGTATAAGTCTGCAGATTAGAAATGTCTTCAATTCACTTCACTTAAATCTCTCTATTCGCTTATGCAGACATTTATCCCCAAGTAGGAGTGCCATGTTTTAAATGTATCCCAGTGTTTTACAATGGACCTGTCTTCTCTATGAATATAAATCTTACTATGCCTTCATCCTGATTAATATTGTAAATGATATTAAAGGGAATAGAATATCAGTTTGAAACAAAACCTTCTCTCTGTTGATTTAAAACTTTTGATGTATTCTAAATATGTTCAAGATTGTACAGTGTGAAAAATTAAGCAATGTTGTAGCAAATGTATTTTGGATAAAGATTAGAAAATGCTCCTGTTTGATCTTTGCAGGCATATGTTTTCAAATAAAGAAATTAAAGGATCTGAAAGAGTTATATTTATTTCAGTTTATGTGTGTTTATAATCACCCTTCTTACTTTTCATGACAAGTTACATGTATTTTGACTTTGACTTTCACCTTTAGTACATTGGTAAATTATTAATTAGACCATTTTCTTGATTCCCTTTGTTTTATGTGTAGGCAGTACAAAGATACCTGTACATATAATGCCAGCGATTTCAAACTGAATACTGTTTCGAAGCAGTTTCTTTATATTGCATACATGTATTTAGCAGTCATATGGCCATAAAAAATTAATTTCTTGGTTCTCAGGCCCTCCCTCATCTCTTCCAAGGGTGCCTCATTGACCCTTTTTATTGATAAATCAATAAAATAAAAACAACAAATCACATCCCTCTTCATTTTTTGAGGTTTTGTACAATTTAAAAAGCTGCATCATCATGTTTGGGGGCATTAAAAAGGTTTTTAAAAAATGCCTTGCTCCCTCATCATATTTCTTTAAAAAAAGGTCTGAGAACCAAGGAATTAAATTTGCATTGCCTTAAAACCTGAAAATATGGAAGGTTACATATATCCCCCCCTTCAATAAAATAAATATGCTTGCATCTGGTCATTTGTCGCTAAATATGGATGACGTGACCTAAACAAGAGGCCCATGGGCCACATCGCTCACCTGAGAAGCTTTGACCATTCTGTTCTTTACCAGATTTCCCCCTTGTTATACATAATGCATCCCCACCCTACCCCACTGATCATAATTTAAACATTTTGAAATCTACACTACCCCATGATCCTTCCATGGGCACATATGTTTCAGCTTTTTTGGCCCAGTGGTTCCTGAGAAGAAGATTTTCAAAGATTTTTCCTATATATTTCTATGTAAAACTTTGATTCCCTACAATGGCCCCGCCCTTCCCCCGGGGGTCATGATTCCTACAATTTAGAATTTACACTACCCCAGAATGCTTCCACATAAGCTTCACTCTTTCTGGCCCAGCGGTTCTTGAGAAGAAGATTTTCAAAGATTTTTCCTATATATTTCTATATAAAACTTTGATTCCCCATTGTGGCCCCGATCTTCCCCCGGCATCATTATTTGAACAATTTAGAATCTACATTATACCAGGATGCTTCCATATAAGTTTCAGCTTTTCTGGCCCAGTGGTTCTTGAGAAGAAGATTTTCAAAGATTTTTCCTATATATTTCTATGTAAAACTTTGATACCCCATTGTGGCCCCGACTTTCCCCTTTAGTCATGATGTGAACAATTTATTAATTACACTACACCAGGATGCTTCCACATAAGTTTCAGCTTTTATGTGGTTCCTGAGAAGAAGATTTTCAAAGATTTTTCCTATATATTTCTATATAAAACTTTGATTCCCCATTGTGGCCCCGCCCTTCCCCCGGGGGTCATGATTTGAACAATTTAGAATCTACATTATACCAGGATGCTTCCACATAAGTTTCAGCTTTTCTGGCTCAGTGGTTCTTGAGAAGAAGATTTTCAAAGATTTTTCCTATATATTTCTATGTAAAACTTTGATACCCCATTTGGCCCCGCCCTTCCCCCGGCGGTCATGATTTTTATTGCTAAATCACATACACCAGGATGCTTCCACATAAGTTTCAGCTTTTCTGGCCCAGTGTTTCTTCTTCAGAAGATTTTCAAAGATTTTTCCTATATATTTCTATGTAAAACTTTGATTCCCCATTTTAGCCCCACCCTTCCCCCGGGGGTCATTATTTTAACAATTTAGAATTTACATTATACCAGGATGCTTCCACATAAGTTTCAGCTTTTCTGGCCCAGTGGTTCTTGAGAAGAAGATTTTCAAAGATTTTTTCCTATATATTTCTATGTAAAACTTTCATTCCCCATTGTGGCCCCGCCCTTCCCCCGGGGGTCATGATGTGAACAATTAAGAATCTACACTATACCAGGATGCTTCCACATAAGTTTCAGTTTTTCTGGCCCAGTGGTTCTTGAGAAGAAGATTTTCAAAGATTTTTCCTATATATTTCTTTATAAAACTTTGATTCCCCATTGTGGCCCCGACCTTCCCCAAAAGGGTCATGATTTGAACAATTTAAATCTACACTATACCAGGATGCTTCCACATAAGTTTCAGCTTTTCTGGCCCAGTGGTTCTTGAGAAGAAGATTTTCAAAGATTTTACCTATATATTCCTATATAAAACTTTGATTCCTTGTGGCCCCGCCCTTCCCCCGGGGGTCATGATTTGAACAATTTAGAATCTACACTACCCCAGGATGCTTCCATATATTTCAAACTGGCCCAGTGCTTCTTGAGAAGAAGATTTTTTAATGACCCAACCCTATTTTTGTCTCTTCTTGATTATCTCCCCTTGGGAGGGGATATGTCCCTTCATTTTAACAATTTAAATTCCCCTTCACCCAAGGATGCTTTGTACCAAGTTTGGTCAAAATTGGCCCAGTGGTTCTTGAGAAGAAGTAAAATGTGAAAAAATATTTAAACAGACAGACAACGTTTAGACAAGACGGACGGACGGATGACGGACAAAATGTGATCAGAAAAGCTCACTTGAGCCTTCGGCTCAGGTGAGCTAAAAATGAATAAGGAGAGTGGCAATTCTAAACATTTAACTACACGTATTTGTACATGGAAGTGCATTTCAACTTCACTGTTAGGGCTGATTAATTAAGGGAATTAAGTCAAAATGTGGTTAATCTACCACCCTAATATTTGAAATCTTTTATATGATATGTAAGTATTTTAATAACTCGAATGATTGGGTTAGTAAAAGGATTAACCAACTTACCACTATTAGTAAAAGTGTAGCTCACTAATTACAGCTAATCCTAAACGATTGACAACTAAGATTTTTGAATTAGTTACATTCTTCTATGTCAGTCTACTGAAATTTAATTGCAATTTACCATTATAAAAATTTTGACTACTTTTAAAAATTAAATTTAGTGAATATGTAATACAATAGGTCATGGAATCCACAGTTTTATTTAACATTTTAAGTATATATACATGTATATACATAACAATCTTTCAATTACATATGAAATAAATCCACAAATTGCCCTACATATTTTAATTTTTGTAAAATATGCCTATTTGAAATCTAAGAGATCTTTATTTTTTTTTCAAGCTAAGCATCACTCAAAATGACATGATTTCACATACATAACACATTTATCCTGCCACATTAATGAAATTATCCCTTTCTCCCTTAGGATTGGCAGATTAATTGTTCTATTAATTACACAGGTGATAATTACAGTAATTATCAAGCCTAATCACTCATGCTGTCGTTATCACTATCACTAAAATCACTGTCACTGTCCGCTTTCTTCACATCTGCTGGAGGGGCAGGGGCATCAGGAGTACTGAAAAATTTATATAGAGTCTGGTTAGCCTAGAGAAACTTAGAAAAATCAAGATTAATACTAAAGAAGTTCTAAAACAGGTAATTTATCACTTTTGAGATAACATATACACTGAAATGTAAAAATTAAGCCACATGGGAAACGAATACTTACAGTAAATAATACTTTATGATGCTTTATTTAGATTGGAATTATCAGAAATTTATTAATTCAAATATGCAAGTTGATGTTTTTCATTTTGAAAATAAGAAAGAAAAACTTTACTTTTGAGTGCATGTAAAATACTTCACTGGGTGTAAAAAAACAAAAAAAAAACATGTTAAATCAACTCTTTCAAAAAGGGGAACTTACTCTAGTAAATCTGGGTTAAGTCCTTCAGCTCTCATTTTGTTTTTGACTGCAGGTTCTGGTACTCCCTGGTGGAAAAAGATATTTTTTAAATATCACAATACAGCTATTTCATGTATTAAATATTTCTACAATTACCCAGTAATTGATATAAACACACATGGGATAAAACTTTCTAATATAGTAGCAAATTCAGGTGGAAGTAAAAAAAAAATTATCCAAAACTCATATGAGTAATCAAGTGCAGAAGGATTGTTTTATTTAACATGTCTATAACAATTGGCCTTACCACTTGTAACATTTTGAAGAATCTAGCATATCTAGAATCCTTGGACACAGGATTAGAGGGATTCTCTTCCTCTGGGGGTGGGGGAGGGGGTGCCTCATCCTGGGTAGGCTAGAAAGACAGAAAACATTAAATAATTATGGTTGTTTAGAAAATATTTTCTTTTAAAAAAAATCAGTATTCCCGACATTCAGAAAACATTCAATAAAATGAATATATGTTAATAATTTTTTTTCAAAATAATATGTTTGAAATATTTTTATGCAGTATTTTATTGGTAAACTGGACAGTATTCACTGAGATACTTTTAATGCCTAACGGACCACAAACTTACGGGTGGAGGTGGTGCCCCAGGGGCAGGTGGAGCTGATGGGGTCCCTGAGGTGGTGGCTGGTGTGTCTGAGGCAGCTGGTGGGGCCGATGTGGTGCTGCTAGTTGGAGCAGTTACACTGTCAAGTCCAGGAATTGAAGACAACTAAGAATGTACAAGAAAAGTCAAGATTGTTTGATGTGGATATCCATGTGTAATTTAATCAATATTGTATAAATGTAGCTGTATAATTGTTATAACAAATTCATTTACTTTAGTTAAAGACTGAAACTGTTGATCATAAAATCATTCATATTTTAGCATTCGTGTTATTTAAGATTTCAAATGATATGAGACTCTACTTAAAATATAAACTAGAAAACAGTACTTTAATTTTTCATGATAGAATGTCTAGAGGATAAGATAAAATAAAATACTTCTTAAAACATTATCAAACATCTTTTTTGGTTGTTAAACATGGGTAAATACCTTTGTTTCCAGTAAACTTAGTGTAATTTCCAGATTTTGTATTCTGTTAGATAGATGCTCTAGTTTTTCCTCACAAACACAGGAGAACTGATTAAGAAAGCTTGCAGTGTGGGTGATGAAATGGTTTATGAATGCAATAGTTCTCTTCTGTTGAATAGCTTCAACCTGGGTAAAAACATAAGATACAGTTGAACTTTGGTATCTCGAACTCCGATATCTCGAATACCATGGATATGTCGAAGTAATGCAGAAGTCCAAACCACATATTCTTTAAGTATTTTACTTTCGATGTCTCAAATCCTCAGATATCTCAGATATAGTTCTTTCTCAGTCTCACTAGGTTTGAGATAATGAAGTTTGACTGTACTATATTTATAATTACATTTGAATGAATATTTCAATTTAGTAAAGTGTGTTCAATCTTGCATAAAGCATTAAAAAACCTTTCTATTTCCAGAAAGGATGTGCTGATTTGACCATATCTCTTTTAACAATTACACTGAGATATCTGAGAAGCCTTAATGATATTACTGAATAGCAGTAAAAGAAATACTGCATGGGTGACGCCCACTCAAATATTATAAAAGCTCAAAAACAGATCTTTTGCATCGGGAGAATGAAGCAGACATACAGAACATTACCTTAGTATAGTCTACACCAGACCCCACTAAAGGGAGCCCATCAGCGTCCATGACATCAACTTAAAAGAAATGATTGTCACAAGACCGTGAGGACATCTCGAATTTCTACTTTCACTTTTAATTTATTTTGATAACTTGTACATGAGTTGTTCTTATTTGTAAAATCAGCATTGTAAAATCATAAGATCAGCAAAAAAAAAAATGCTAGAAAAATATTTTTGATTTTATTTATTATTATTTCAAAAGTTGAATTTATATCACTGATTTTATTTTTAAGAATAAATCAAAAAAAAATCTCTACACGAATATTCAATGAACTAGTTACTTAATTATTAAAAATCACATTTTTTGAAAATATGACTGATGATAATGAAGAATAAATCTATATCACTGGTTTATATTTACATTCCCCTTTAAGAAAACCTAATAAATAGTTGATAATATATCACTGTACATGATTTTCACTTTTAGGTGTGATATTCAGTGCGAAGCTGCTATACAAAGACCAACTTCCGGCAGGTTTCTGCCAGAGAAACACGAGTACCTAATTTATGTATATATCCACCTTTCTGGAGCAAAAAGACCCTCTGTAGCTCTTCAACATGGACAGTGAACCGTCGTTGGAGACGGTCGGACAGGCTCTACATGCTTTGTACAATAATCCAGACGTAAGCGGAAAAGAAAAAGCATCGGTATGGCTTGGGGAGCTGCAAAGATCAGTAAGTCAACATTCCAAAATAGATATATTAGTTTTTTGTTTGTGTAAGGTAATTTAGCTAGCATGGTGAATTGTGTGAAGGAGATCCATGTCCACTATATGGTCAAAGCAAATTATTGTATTTGCCTTGGTATTTTTAGGATTTATCTCCATTTCTTGCCGATTTCATATTTTTGGTGATGTGTGTTTGTATTTGCTCGTATTTTTTATTCAGGTGTATGCATGGCAGATAGCAGATCAGCTCCTACGGTTACACCAAAGTATGGAATCATGTTACTTTGCTGCCCAAACAATGAGGACGAAGGTAAAATTGATTGATTGGATGGTCTGATTGTAGAATGAGCGCAGTGATACTAGCTGTGATAGCATATTCCATAGATTATGAAACCTAATCTTTCTATTTTGTACAACTTGAATTAGATTTAGCACCTCTATATTGAAAAATAAAGGTCTTACACTCTGTAGATATTAAAGGAGATTATATACTTTTAGTTAGAATAATCTAACTGTGTCTCGGTACAGGCCCTCACCACAGTTAGAATACGTCCCATATACTTGCAATGTAGCAAATCGGATGTCACATTTTGAAGAATATAAAATGATTTGCACTGGGAATAACAAAAATAATCAAAACAAACCTTTTTGAGATTGCTTATGCCTTTTATCCCATAAAATAATCCATATAAATACGAAAATCCAATTTAGTTTTTCTCTCGATTCAAATTACTACATTCGCTCTCTAATTGTTCCTAGTAAATGCACTATGCGATTATCGCCCGTGTTTCACATTACGAATATTTTTGTTAAACCGGGTTCAATTTGATAGAACATATCTAATATACTTTTAACTTTGACTATGAAGAGGTGCATATGTCACATTTTATACAACAACATGAGATATGCAAATAAATTTAATTTTAGATTAAGCAAACCTTATGTCAGATATTTTATTCAATTTGCTACTACTTCTTTTATTTTTTAGATCCAGTATGCCTTCCATGAGCTCCCCCCAGCCTCCCACAATGTAAGACTGCACTGTTTCTAACAATTCAAGCTAGAAATAAAAGTTACAATATAAAATATTATCTTCAGTACCCCCATAACCAATTGATTTATCTAGTTTTGATTGGAAAATAATTTATACTGGGGAACTATTGTATCTAAATGTTATATGGAGTTCTTAATGAGTCTCTTGAAAGTTGATCATGAGGCCATCTAGAAATATGTCATAAATATCTTTTTTTAGTATGATGTAGACTATTTGTATATGTTTACAGTGTGTTACAATAAATTTTTTTAATGACCGATATATACAATTTCTCTATGATAATAATTTTCTCCCCTCTATTCTACAGTCTTTGAGGGATTCCCTGATAGAACATGCTGGTAAAATTAATGCTGAAACACAGCCGGTTATAGTAACTCAGGTAGGCATTTCAACATTTTAGAAAAATTGCTCTCATTTTAATTTCCTATAGAAAACAAGAATATCAATATATAAATAGCAGATTTATAAGTAAAATTTATAAATGCTTCTGTTTTTTTCATTTAGTTGAGTTTAGCCTTGGCTGATCTTGCTCTACAAATGGCTTCCTGGAAAGATGCTGCATTGGATCTAATTCATAAGTAGGGTTTAATTATATTTGATCAAAACACTAAATAAAAAAACAATACTCTGCTATAGGGAATCAATGTAAATACAGTACCTATACATTGTGAACATTTTCATTGTGACATAAGAAGTCTTTTTGAAATCCCAGTTATGCGTGTACATGTACTTATTCTGCAGTATAAATGTTTACAGATTTGGCAGTAATCAACACCAGCTTCCTTTTTTGCTAGAGGTCCTTACTGTGTTACCAGAAGAGGTGAGGTCCCTTGATGTCTTCTGTATATATAACAATTCTATCATTTTTTTTTTCATGATATTTTTAAATTGCTGATCTGGATTAGACATGAGGATTGAATCACCTTTTTGCTTACCTCTTTAGGTAAACAGTAGGTCATTAAGGCTGGGTGCAAATAGAAGGGAAGAGATAACTAAAGAATTACTCAAAGCATCACCCATGATGCTACAGTTGTTGGTAAGATCTTAGTTTATCTTTTAATTACATTATCATCAAAATTGCAAGATAAAGTATTGTCTATGATTAAAATTCACAATGCTTCTTGAGAAATATATGGTAATTTGATAGATTTTATTACTGGCAGATTTAAAACAAATATTTTAAAAAATCTAGCTCTTTAACATGTATATTCTTTCATTTAGCCCCCTCTCTTACCCATAAAAAAACAGGACCTCTAAAAGCTGGTTTAATTGTATTTTACAGACAGCTGTGATAGAAGACACTGCTTGTGATGAGAAGAACCAGATTCGGGTTTTCCGGTGTCTCGGTAGCTGGTTCAGTCTTAATGTTGTTCCTGAACCAGATATTGTGAACAGTAAACTGCTGACAGCACCTTTCCATGCAATGGTACGTGGGTTTGTTAATTATTGAAAATGAAAATTTTCTAGTTGTGATGTCTTAAAATATTGACGAATAATGTAGTTATTAAACTAGAGGACAGACAGACTGATGGACAGAGGTATTGATTACTATCTACCCTCCCACTTTTCAAGCAGGGGGAATAATAAAGACTTATTAATTACTGATTTTATAGGCCAACACCACTTGTCCCAATATGCTCCATGAAGCTGCTGCTGACTGTATTGTTTCTGCTCTGTATTCCTGTTACAACTGTCAGGTAAGAAATAATCACATTTTCCACCATCTTAATGGAAAATACACTGCTATGAAAACTCATTTTTCAGATTTGTTTTTCATAAAAATTTCATATTTTTGTATGTTTTATCCATTCTTTGACTGAAGTACAGGTAGTTTCTTAAGTAATTTTACAATTTGTGTGACAATTTTTTTTTTCATCAGGAGCAGTTACAGTTGTCCCAGAAGCTGTATCAAGGGGTGGTAACTCTCATGGAACCCTATCACATGTCAGTGGCCACAGAGGATACAGATAAGTAGGTCACCCCTTAAATAGGATACATTTAAGTAGGTCATTCCTGAAAAAAGAATACAAATATTAGGCCACTCTTAAAATAGGTTATGAAAATCAAGACAAGTAAAAACAGGATATTATTTAAGAAGCTAAGAGTATTGCTGTAAACATTTTGCTGGTTATGCATGCATTTCTAGTTTAAATAAACTATTTTTTAAAATTTACTCTAAAGTCCATATCACATCCATATACTGTGACACAGAGGTTCATGAAGTCTTGTTTAGGAGTTTAATTAAATGCTGAAATGTGTTATATTTTTCAGATCTATGAATTACTGTAGAGTATTTACAGAGTTGGCAGAGACATTTTTAGAACCAATGGTTTCCACTCCTAATCATGTATGTTGATTTCAGTCTTTCAGAATTTAACACAATTCGAGCTACTTGTACATGTAGATTTTTTTTTGGGGGGGGGGGGTTAAAACAATGTTATGAATAAGTTTCTTGTTAAATTGCTATGAGAATTCTCAGACTAAAAAATAAATGTATTTATTTTACAGACCGTAAAATTTTAAATTATGTTTTTTAGGAATTAGGAGATCTAAGTGTACTTGAACTTCTTTTAACCTGTGTTGGGCATCATTTATACGAGGTAAGATTACATATTATAAACTTCTTAAAATTTCAATGTTAACTGAATAACGATGAACTTTAACCAATGGTGTCTCTTTGAATACTCTTTTCTAACTACTTTGAGTAATATGTTTGTATTGAAAATATGATCATAATTTAAGCAGAAGAATATTCTTGATTGTAGTTTGCCGATTTTACATGTATGTTTGATTTTTCTGTAGGTCGGAGAAATATCATTCAATTTTTGGTATAGACTGTCAGAAGAATTGTATCAAAGAAGTATTCAAGAGGTCACTGATGTATTTAAACCCTATATACAGAGATTAATAGTAGCTCTATGTCGGCATTGTCAAATTGAACCAGACCATGTAAGTATGAAGATATCATATTTCTATAGATCATTAAATTTTTGTGACACCTTATTTTCACAAGATAATTGTGCTTGGTTCTCAAAAGAGACAAAACAAAATTTTGGTTATTGCTCTATGTAATCTTGAATATGAGAATTATACTTGAGAAAGAAATTTTTGTGAGCAGATTTTCTCATGAGCAAATAAAGTTCTCAGGAATAAAGAGTTATTTACTGTAACTGACTTCTGCAAAAACAGATATTCATTAAGTTAATTTTACAATATTCATGTCTAACGTTTAATCAAGAGCGATCAAGCATCTCTTATTTATTTTGCTACCAATGATGAATTTTTCTTTCTCATCAGTAATACAGGAAATTTATATCTGTTTTACAGGAAGGAATACCAGATGAGAATGATGATTTTGGAGAATTTAGATTAAGGGTTTCAGAATTAATCAAAGATGTTGTATTTATTGTTGGATCTTCACAATGTTTTACTCAGGTTAGTTTCAACTTTTAAAGTATTTTCTGGTATAAAAGTTGCCAAATCTGTTATTTAACCTTCCATAGACTTTATTGGGCACTAGTAATAGATAGTTTCACTACCGGTTTACATTTCTGTGACTTTCAGCTATGAAATTTTAATGCATGGAATATTTCCAGCTTGAATAGAAAGAAGTTTCTGATGATAAGAAGGGAAAATGTCTATCCTGTAACTGATTTCAGTGTTATTTTTGTTTTTGATAGATGTTTGAGAATATTAAGAGTCAGACAGAGAATACGTCCTGGGAAGTGATCGAGGCTTCCTTGTTTGTTATGACGGCCGTAGCCAAGAATCTCTTACCGTAAGTAAGGACAGATCTCAAAAAGTAATGGCAAGTTCGAGTAAATAATGACACACTACTGCAGAAAAAACAAGGCTATAATAATTATAGTTTAAAAAATTGGAAATCTAAAGTTTGATAACAAGCCAAAATAACTTAGCTAATGCAAATATTTCCATATACTGTCTGTATGACATATGGCGTTTAGCATGTTTGTCATGTGATTATTTCAGAAGGTGTTGAATGTTATCTGTACATATTTTGTAGGGATGAAAATGACATTGTGCCACAGGTTGTAAAAGCTGTTTTGTCCATGCCCCATACAGCTCACCTGGCTATAAGGTACACAAGTATCAAACTGTTTGGAGAGCTCTGTGAATGGGCAGAAAAACATCCAGAATTCTTAGGTAAACCTTTTACTACTCATATTTCTGTGGATTACAGTAAGATATCAAGTGATTTGAAAATTCTTCTGTGGTTGCCATACTAAGTTAATGACCCAAAACTTAAGTACAATTACATGTATAAATTAAAAAAATAAGAATCATGTAGGCTTACCAACAACTGTTTAAAGATGGTGTTTTCAAAATAGATACGAAAGTAACTGCTCATGGGAATGTGTTTTTTCTTTCTTCAGATCCCATTCTACAATTTCTGTTAGCTGGCCTTCAGGAGAAGACTCTGTCAACAGCTGCAGCCAATTCATTACAGAGTATTTCAACGACGTGTCGAGAACAAATGGTCAACCACTTCCAGGGCTTGGTACAAATTGTGTCAGCTCTGGAAACTTTCCAGCTCTCCAATGATGCTGCTATAGGTCTTCTTAAAGGTGATTTTTTTTTGGAAATAGATACATAATTTTATGTTAAATCCTGTTGAATGTGTAGGATTAAAATATGTATAAACACTTTATATGAAACGATGCATTGCATGAATTAGTGGTATTCATTTTTAGCTCACCTCAACGAAGTTGGGGGGAGCTTATGTGATACCCTCGGCGTCGGCGTCGGCGTCGGTGTCGGCGTCGGCGTCGGTGTCCCAGGTTAAGGTTAAGTTTTTTGGAGCAGTTTTCTTTTTAATTACTTCTGTGTCCTATACTGATTAGACATGCATGGAAGATGGTTTTAGTGTGTTTTATTGTACCAGACAAAGTTTCAGATGCTGCAATTTCAGCAAAGGAATTACCAGGTTAATGTTTTTGGAGCAGGTTAACATTTTTGGTGCAGTTTTTGGTGTGGGTTTCATTTCCAAGTAACTATAAGCCCTATGTTGACCAAACTTGCATGGATGATACATCTAAGGATGCATACTACCGGGCTTGCTTCGGATGCTGAATCTGACCTACATTTTCCGGTTGAGCGAACAGGTTAAAGTTTTTGGTGCAGGTTTCATTTCTAAGTAACTATAAGCCCTATGTTGACCAAACTTGCATGGATGATACATCTAAGGATGCATACTACCGGGCTTGCTTCGGATGCTGAATCTGACCTACATTTTCCGGTTGAGTGAACAAGTTAAAGTTTTTGGTGTAGGTTTCATTTCCAAGTAACTATAAGCCCTATGTTGACCAAACTTGCATGGATGATACATCTAAGGATGCATACTACCGGGCTTGCTTCGGATGCTGAATCTGACCTACATTTTCCGGTTGAGCGAACAGTTAAAGTTTTTGGTGCAGGTTTCATTTCCATGTAACTATAAGCCCTATGTTGACCAAACTTGCATGGATGATACATCTAAGGATGCATACTACCGGGCTTGCTTCGGATGCTGAATCTGATATATTTTCCGGTTGAGTGAACAGGTTAAAGTTTTTGGTGTAGGTTTCATTTCCAAGTAACTATAAGCCCTATGTTGACCAAACTTGCATGGATGATACATCTAATGCATACTACCGGGCTTGCTTCGGATGCTGAATCTGACCTACATTTTCCAGTTGAGTGAACAGGTTAAAGTTTTTGGTGCAGGTTTCATTTCCAAGTAACTATAAGCCCTATGTTGACCAAACTTGCATGGATGATACATCTAAGGATGCAACCGGGCTTGCTTCGGATGCTGAATCTGACCTACATTTTCCAGTTGAGCGAACAGGTGAAAGTTTTTGGTGCAGGTTTCATTTGCAAGTAACTTTAAGCCCTATGTTGACCAAACTTGCATGGATGATACATCTAAGGATGCACACTACCAGGCTTGCTTCGGATGCTGAATCTGACCTACATTTTCCAGTTGAGCGAACAGGTGAAAGTTTTTGGTGCAGGTTTCATTTGCAAGTAACTTTAAGCCCTATGTTGACCAAACTTGCATGGATGATACATCTAAGGATGCATACTTCCAGGCTTGCTTCGGATGCTGAATCTGACCTACTTTTTGTGGATGAGTGAAAATGTTAGTTTTGATGCATGTTTCATTTCCAATAAACTTGAGCCCTATAATGAGCAAACTTGCAATGATACATCTAAGGATGCACACTAATGGACTTGCTTCGGATGCTGAATTGGACATACATTTTTCAGATAATAGAAAGGTAAAAGTTATGGTTGCAGGTCTATTACCAAAAACTTTTATATAAACCAAACTTGCACAAATGCTGCATTAAGAGATGAAAACTCTCAAATTTGCTTCAGATGCTGGATTTTCATTACATTTTCATGAAGAAGAAGTAGTTTAAATTTTTTATGTAGGTCTATTTCAAAGTATCAGATCAAAATTGCTTTTAAAAATATTTTCATTTTTGGAATGTATACTTTTTGTTGGTTAATTGTGTGACTTTGCCTTACTTAAAGACAACATTCGTTGAGGTGAGCTCTGTAATCTCTGATTACCTATGTTTTTTATGTGTCTTACCTTCGTTTATCACAAACTTTCTTTTGTCTTTGTAGGAACAGCAACAATTTTAGCACAGTTTCCACATGATAAGATTGCAGATGGTTTACGACAATTATGTACATTTCAGTTACTACCTCTATCAAAAGTAAGACATTGTTACTTACAGAGATATTCATGTATGCTTATTTCATCAAAGGAGAGATAATAAATATTCACGATGGTTTTAATTCCGCTATGTTCGCAATTCATTAATTTTCCGCGAAATTAAACCCATCGTAAATTATATTATTTCTTTTTAAAGCGTTTAAACGCTCATACGAAATTTTGAATTAATTTCTTTCAGTGTGAAATTAAAGCCATCGCAATTGGTACTTTTTGAGATATCGTGAAATTTTAACACCGTGGAATTAAAACGACTTACAGTAATACCTTTTCCTGTCTATTTACATTAATTAACGTATCGCCAGCTGTCAATCACAACAAATTTTCAACCAATGAAATAATTTCGTTTATTCTGCGCGTAAAAAACTTGATCCGCCACATGCTCCGACAAACACTTATGGGTTGACACAATAAACAAATTGAACAAATAAGTCTATGATGGTTAAAATATGCATACCGATGACAGATATCCCGAAAGGGAATTATGGATATATAGAACAACACATTTCGGGACTTTTTACACGTTTTGGGACCTTTATTTTGGTCAGGAAATGAAATAAAACTCGTTTACTTGTTTGTTATGTTTATACATGTATACTTTCTTAGTTTGATACACAAAAACCGGTATAAATCCATGCACAGTATACATGCTATAGAGATTCATTTGACAGACTGTCTTTGCGTTAGAAATAAAAAAAAATACGAATATTCGTAAAAATTCGTAATATGAATAATAGAATACATGTGTGCTTAATCAGTTCATAACACTTCTACATATGTGCATGTTTTGCCCTCAAAATAATTGTCAAAATACATACACATTTTTAAAAGAGAACTAGATACGCTTTTTGAGTTTTTAATTTTACATTTATCACTTGTGTCTAAAGTTAACGGTTTTTATTACCAGTTATTATTGCATATGCAGGATTAAGTTTATAAACTTTTATTTTTCACTTTTTAAAAAAAATAAATTCGAATTAATCTACATATTAAAAATGATTCTATTTATCTAAAAATTATTTTTTAATTACTCCCACTTATTACTAGCATTTTTAAATTTATACACCATCATGTATTTGCTTCATTTTTTATATAAAGACATACATTGTCATTACCGGTATTATAACCAATATATATTTTGTTATATGAGGGTTGTCCCAGAAAAACACGAACTTTGTATATTAGATTTGTATACATAATATATATCTGACCAAAATTATTCAAAATCTTCATGCACTACTCTCTATTATTGCTTAAAAGTGTGCACATTTTCCACCAGAACTTAAAGGTAAAGAAGAAAGTTTTTTCCAGAGTTGATATTATCAGAGATTTATGGAATGACCATTTTATAAGTTGCATTTGTCAATTATTTATTGTCATTTGAATTTGGCATATTTTTATTGACTGAAAATGTCTAACAAGCCAATCCAACCCAAGATTATTGTGGAGGTGGTGTGGGCATATTATTTATTTGAGGAAATATGTATTTCCAAAACTGATTCAGCATTCAATTCCTTTATCAGCCAGACACCCCCCTTCAGAATCAAAGGATTGTCCCCTTATAGATAGGAACTAAAAGCATGTCTTGACAATGTCGTATGGGTTTTGTATATTATTGCTGATTTAATAAAATTATTAGATTACAAATTGAATGAAAGGTCATTGTCTTAATTTATCATTTACATGCACCCACATTTTTGCAAATGTGCTTCTACATGGATGTTTAAACAACACATCATGCTTATATTTTTTAATATTTTAAAAAAATATATGAAAGATTTTAAAAAGCATTTGCCCTTTGTTTTGTCTCAAAGTAAAAATATTTTGCGGCATGCTTTACAAGTCAACTGGCGTCGATTAATTTCAGATGTTGATGATGTCAAGGATTAAGCGCGATGGGCGGATTTTTATGGAGCATTTTGAGTTAAATTATGAAACATTCGTTGCATTTTTTTTTTTGGCTTAAAAAGATAGCAATTATACATGGTAGTAACATACAGTGGATATATAGAACATCTTTTGTTATTTTCAGTTAATAGCAGAACCAGTCAATAATCCAAAACAGGGTAGCCCTCACGATCCCACAAAGTGGCTAGATCGTCTTGCAGCTATCTTTAGGTAGGCAGACACATTTTCTATCTATTTCATGATTTATCATTCAAATTGTGAAAAAGAGCATTCTCTCCTACCTTAAGTTTTACATAATTTGCATTTTATTTGCATTTCCATATCTTTTTTTTCAGTGAATGTTTAAAATATTGAATAATTTAAGTTTGATTTATACAACAGTGTTTGTCAATGTTTTGAATTTGTTTTAGATATGTGAACCCCAAAGTATCAAATGGTCAAGCTCATCCCTGTAAACCAGTTATTCAAGAGGTTGGTCATTTAAGTTAGTCATTGAATCTAATGTAAACACAGTTTAACACACTGCCTATAAATTATAAGAAAAAAAATATTTGAGGGGATAAAAATGCCATGCTTTAGAATAGATTACTTTCAGGTGTGTATTAAAGATTGTCCTGCCCATGGTATTTGTGCAATCAATACCTTTGGAATCTCTTCTATATGACTTTTCCTCACTTAATTGCTCAATAAGTTTTACTCGACCTTACTTCTAAATATAAAGTGTAGTTTTTCACAGAGCAGTAAATTCATTTGCAATATCATTCTCCTTAAGATATTTTCTGACCTGTGTGTTCCCCTCTTTTAGCAGGTCTGGCCAGTTCTCTCACAGGCCTGTGATAAATATCAGGCTGACGTCCGGATCACGGAGCGGTGCTGTCGATGTATTCGGTTCGCCATCAGGTGTTTAGGACGGCAGTCAGCTGATTTACTTACTCCTCTCGTTAGTCAGGTAAGGGAAACAGGTGAAAAGGACTGAGAAATTGCATTTCAGAAACATTAACAAAAAGTCTTAATAACTTCACTATGATATTGAGTATTTAGACTGATTTTTTCATGGTGTAGTACATCAGACTCTATTTTGAAGTGTTTAACTTTTGACTTTTGGTATCAGCTGAAATATCCTATAAATGAAAAAGTAATTGTAAGAATAAAATGCAAAAACAGTGAATATTTCATAAACTAAATGCATATAAATTGTACTTAAACAATGGATATGGTTTTGTGTTACAGATGGTCACATTATACCAGGCCCATCAACACTCGTGTTTCCTGTACCTGGGCAGTATTTTAGTGGACGAGTATGGAATGGAGGCTTCCTGTCAGCCAGGACTTTTACACATGTTAGAGGTACACAGATATATACAGTTCATATTCTGAATCTTTATATATAGAATACAAATCCAAGTAAGATTGTGGAGAAATTTCATTCTGAAATGAATATTTTTTTATGCAGTAAATATGTAGCTTTATTTCTATACCAGGAAATGATAATTTAAAAAATCAACACCAGGGACATTTACATGCACATTGATTACTGTTTAAGAAAGACAAGAGACTTGTGTGTACGCATCATTCCTACTTCACGGATTATTTTCAATTTCTTTCAGGCTTTCTGTGTGCCAACATTTAAATTATTAGAAGAACACAATGGTCTAAGGAACCACCCAGACACTGTGGATGATCTCTTCAGACTGTGTTTAAGGTAACTATTTAGTATTATCTACTCTTAGGGATAAGAAAACTTTCTTTTAATTGGCTAAAGATCAAAAGAGCAATTGATGTTGATATTTCATTGATTGACAACATTACTTTAAAATGACATGAAGCGTGAATTTAGACATTGGGTTTTAAGATAATTTACTGCTTATGATTTTGAAAGCTGACAAGTATATGACCATTAAATTACTGCACATGTACATAAATTTATGCATTCAAAAATTAGCACAATCATCAGGTATCGAGAAGTTGGTGTTTTCATGAGTTAGTTACATAAATAATAGCTATATATTCTATTACGTATGAATTATTTGCAGTATTCTTAAATTAATGCATCATTGTCAACGGCAAAGCGGCTAAGAAATGGTGCCACTTTCTTTAGTATACATAAATTATGTAAACACTTAGTTTGTTTCTGTGACAGGTTTATACAGCAGGCTCCAGTGGCCTACATACAGTGTGGGATGGTAGAACCGATCCTCCGATGTGCAATAGCTGCCTGTTCACTGGACCATAAAGAAGCGAACGCCTCAGTGATGAAGTATTTATCTGACTTCTTAACCTGTGCAACAAAGAAAGACGTAAGCTGCACTTTTTAAATTTACAAACCTCTGTTCTCTTGACAAGGATTTTTGACTTCTTTGAGTTGCTTATAAATTTAGCAGAATTCATATAGAAATGGACATAGTTTAATGTTTAAAGTGTACATAATTCATATAATTTTGGTCTTGAAAGCATTGTAATTTTAGGAAACAACTAGTTTTCTACAATTTATTTTTTTCTCTTCCTTGTACATAAAAAGTAAAATCAACTTGTAAAATTCCTACACTAACTATTGCTGTTTCTTGAAACAAATGTTTGACTTAGAGACAGTAGTGATTCATGGAATAAATTAAATGTTTTTTTTTTTTCAGGAGAAGGATGATTTTCCATTAAGACAGAAGGCAGTTAAGACCCTTTTAAATGACCATGGACAGGCTTTAGTTCATGCATTAATCAATGCTTGTATATTTTGTTTACCAACTTTCATGACAACAGATTTTGGAGAAGTTATATTTGAAATTATGAAAATAGACAGACCAGTGAGTATTTATAGTGCTTTTTCAATTTGTTCCACCAAAACTTTCATAACTATTTATCCAAGTTTATATTTTTCATGAAAATTTCAACGTTTAAAACATGCATAAGAATTTTATTTTTTTCTTTAATCATATACACTTATATTAAATTATATATATGAAAATTTACATGTATTTCCTTTTCCATTTGTTATATAACTTTCTAATGGAGTCATATAATTGTTGTAGATGTTTTGTCGCTGGTTGGAGACCACATTGAAGGCCTTGCCAACTTCCAGTAGTGGGGGTGCAGTGACAGCAACACATAAACAACTAACTGACTTCCATAAAGCAGTCACTAGGTAACTATAAGACCACACATAAAAAAAAAATTTTACATGCAGTTACCACACATAAAAAACACATAAAAATTGACTTCCACAATGCCAGTTAACATACATGAAAGCAACTGACTTTAAAAAACACACATAAAAAAAATTAGAAGAATTGTGTATTTCTTCCTTTGTTTAAATTTTAACAATGCAGAATTTAGATAAGTTAATGAGAATTTTGCTAATAAATAAGTTTACTAATTAAAGCAAATTTTTTATTAATTGTAGTGCCGAGAATTACAAGGATGTGTCCCAAGCATTGAGAGACTTTGCCCGCCTCTACAGATGAGACCGTATCACCGTCCCTAGATAGCTAGTCCCTCGTAAGAAGTACAAAACTGCGACAAGTCCCCCCTCTCCCCATGAGCTAGCTGTGATCCTCTGCTTTTACTCTGTTGCCTCCCAGTGTTGTGATCAAATTCTACTCACATCGTCCGCGCCAAGTCAGAAGCAACCTGAGATTACGCGCCACGTCCTATTTATTGTTTACTCATGTCACTACATCTTCTTGTGAATTTAGACATCTTACTGGGTGGCCATTCAACATGTAGGACACCCGTGCATTGTGCTGGTGTCATGATTACGAGATCTTTGGAGCCCTTTGTGAACAAGCTCTCTGTTTTTAAGATATTTTATCATGGGTCAGTACCGATCCACTGTTGGTGGGCCGCCAGATTATTATTTTTTTTATCTGTAACAAAGTTGTGACAATCACTGTGAAGCTTCATTGGAGCTCTTAGTCAGCTAAATCATAGTTCTCCAACATGAATATTTACTTTTTTTGTTTGTTTAAAATTAAGACAAAATCAACTTCATTAAGAGGTTGCTCATTGAGGCCTTGAGCCTTAGGCTGACAGGGTCATGTGACCTAGATGCAGTGATTGTAATTGTTTTTGATTATGATCAGTATTTTCCTTTCAGGTTTTGCCTCTTTCTTCTGCAATGTGTTCATTTTGGTGCTTTTTTTTTTTATTTTAATGTTGTAAAAAATGAAATGTTGGATAAGCTTTGTTCTGGGCTTTTGGTGTCCATGTACTTTCTGCGTATATCTGGGTAGCCATATACTGATGTTAAGTATCTTAACAAATTGTATGTATGCATAATTATTTGTTGCAAGTACATGAGTATGTTAGATGTGTTAATATCTATGAAAGTTGAAAGTAGTAATTACTATTTATCTGTAAACATGTGTACCTATGCCTCGTTTGCTGATAAAAATGTCAACTGCCACATGATTCAAGTTATTAATTTTATAACTTAGGTTAAATCAAGAAAGTTTAGTAGTATTTAATGGTCATTTTTTCTGTTCAGATTAGGGGATATATGTATGTACCTCCTAAGTATATGCACCACTGAGATGAAAGACAATGCCCTTTTAGTGCTTTTTATAGCATCAACAAAAAGGGTCCATAGATAAATCACTATGTTTAAGAGAAAAAGAGAAAGTGAAATGATCCATAATCTGTTTTAAAGATGACATGTGCAGTGTACATTCACTTATTTCACACCTTATCTTTTCAATGAAGTGTATTATTTTAAATTGAAATAAACCATTTGATATTTAAAAATCCAATCGGTCTTGGAAATTTTAATTTTTTGGTTTGAAGAAAGTCATTTGAAATGCTATACAAATCTTTTATTTGAAAATAATAGATACTACATGTATATATATATTTTTAATAAGAATTTAAGATTTCTGTATAATTTCTTGTCATATTTTTTACCTTCTAGAAAACATTATACCAGAGTACTAAAGAGTCTACAGAACTGTCATCAGTATTGCTGAGTCTGGTGTTTTTTTTCTCAGACATAATTCAATTTTTTGGCAGTCACTTACCTGAAAGATATGATAACGATAAAAAAAAATACAATTTTGTCTTCGAAAATCAAACCCTGATGATTTGTAGTAACAAATTATAACAAATTTATCCCCAAGTAGGAGTCATCAATGAGATTTCTCATTTTTAATGGCATTTGAAATGTATTACATTATATTTACATACAAGAAATATTTTCAAATTTGGCATTAATATACATGTAGAAAGAACCATGTGTGCTGGAATATATTCAACAAGTTTCCATGAGCATACACATGTACAATTTGAGATGTATACTTTGAATTTTTTTTTTATTTTTTTAAAACAATACTGCATGCATTAACATGTAATAGTATTAAAGTACATTATATTGTTCTAAAATCAAATGTCACTCAAGCTTAAGTTTTGAGCTGTAAAGGAATATTATATAGATTTTTGCAGAATTAGATTAGTGTGTGATTTTTTATATAAAGAAAAACAGGAGAGTGCAGTTTTTCAGAAGTAGTTCCTTGTGCAAGATATACAATGTAATTTGATATTTTAATTACTCTGAGTTGTTTAGGTACAAAATTGTATAAGTTAGATAAACTACCAAGATTTTTTTTTGTGCATACTTTTGATGTTAAGAAAAATGATTAGAGAAAAATACAGTATGTTTAGCAAAATTTATTCAGTATTTCAATAACCAATGTGAACTACACATACATTGAAGTACAAGTTTTTTTGAAAAATAAAATCCAACACATTTCACACTGCTTTCACTTCAAAAGTATTTTGATTTGATATAGTTTTTTTTTCCCTCTGTGGAATTAATCAATTCTTATCTTCTTTAACTAGTCTGATTTTTGTCATGTTTAGTACATGTAATGTCAAAGATTTTTGTGCTATAATGATGATGTATAAAATATAAAAGAAAAAATACTGTTCAATCAATGATTTTTAATTCAAAGTACCAAAGTAAATAACACATCATGGTCAACAATGTATGTTCTTTAAAAAACTGAATGTTAACAAAGCATTCATAAATGTTCAAGATACTGTTGTGTTTGCAAATAATAATATAAATTCAAAATAATAGCAGTGTGGTTTTGTTCACCATTTTTTGGGCTTCAGTTACAGGCATGTAGACAATGTGGGTACATGTAGGAAAAAAATGAATTATGATTAGCAAATTATAACACTAAAATCTTAAAAAATACTGTAGAAGAGATGTTTTGTTTGCATTTGTTGGCTTTAATTATATGGACATATGGAAACTTGAAGTATGAATTATGATTTTGATGCACTTATCAAAATATTAAAATGAGTAATATATGATGCTTATTTTTCTTTTGATTCATTACACATTTGCCAGTATTAGCAGTCCCCCTGGTAAAAATTCAGATTATTAATTCTTTTATGTTTACATGAATAGTTGTTGGGATGACCATTTGCATGTATTTGAAGAAAAAGAAAAATGATTGACACTCTGATAAATGCATACATGTATATGCCTAGCCCTTAGAATATTACCTGGGGTATCTTTTTATACAGTAATACTGTGCTAACAACTGCATGGTCTTTCTGATCACCCATAATTTCAAAATTAAATTTCCAATGGTGATTTTTTTAAAACACAGAAATATATTTTCCATTTTCTAAATTTTAGAGTATTCTCTCTTGAAATGTCCGATAATATATTATTTAAACATTTAATTCAGGTGTCAGTGAAAAAATATGTGATAAAAATGTAACCATTATTCAGAAGTAACAGACAATGTTTACTTTTTAAATTATATCACATTGGAGAACTGTTTACTGTTGTTTGACCGGTTTTATTTTGCATTCATGATTAAGAAACAGGTGTTTCTGGCTGAAATAAGCCAAGCATCTGCCACATTTCTGTAGGGGAGGTAATCTGCTCTCACTAGAAGACTTGGCTATCGTCAGGTATTTCTTTATTGACGTGGGTATAGTATCCATAGAGGTAAAATCTAGTCTGTGACATAAAATGCTCTCCACACACAGTTTAAACAAAGGCACCATTTCTATTTTATGTTCTGAATAGTACGGTTTCCAGTTGCGAAGAAGATCTGTTTTTGCCTTTTGATCACGAAGCGCTGCAAAAATGGCATCCAATCCCCATTCACAGACATGAGGTGGAGGTGAAAGAAGGGGATTTTTTAACCATTTCAGTTCTTCCAAATTTTCCAACTCCAAAAGTTCTGTTGGCAAATATGGTATTTGATTGTGCTCCAAGTTTAAGATCCGAAGTGATGTTAATAAGAAAACTGTCAAAGGAATATCCTCAATTTCATTGCTTGATAAATCAAGAACTTTTAAATTTGTCAGTTCTGCCAGTTGGCAAGATATAAATTTTACTTTGTTGTGACTAAAGTCCAGATAAACAATGTTTCTAAATTTCGCTAGTGATCCTGATATGAAAGTTAAGTTTGTCTGATGGAGGGAAATTTTCTGGACAAGACCTGCATCTGGACATTCTTGGCACAGTTTTTCAATTTCAGCTATATTAAGCTGTCCCAAGTCTAGCGTTTTGCCCTTCACTGTTATAACAGTTTTGTTTAATCTGTCTTTTATGCGATGAATGAGACTTGGGCTTGGTGGTGCTGCAGATACTGTTTCTTTTCTCCTGAGTGATTGTAGTATTTTGAAACATGGTGTATCAGAGTCTTCTGCAATAGATTAATAATCAAATTATATCAGAAATATACAGTAATTTTTTTTCTGTAAAAGAATAGAGTTCAACAAGATATTGTTTATTGGGGAGAGTTGCTCTTTAGTCTGTAGAGGAAAACACAAACATCTGGGTGATACAGACTATCATAGATAGCTTTGAGACATTTATGGAGTTAAACACAAACATGACTGGATGATACTAAGTTGCTCTTCTCAAATATATTATGGTCACAAATTCTGTAAGCACAGTGTACAATAAAGGAGGCTATCAAAAAACAATATTCTGGCTATACGTTATTTGAAGAATATGAGATGAAACCACAGAAACTTATAAATGATTGTTACCCCAACCCCCACCCAACCATCCAAGAATTTTTATTAGTAAGACATGTACTACTAAGGAGATTTTACATACATCTACTGAAGGAAAATATTTTAAAAAAGGAAAATGATGTCAGAGATGGAAATATAGGTATGATAGATAAGGAATTCATATACTTTGAATAAATTATTGTCTAATAAAATTTCTCCGAAAGGGGGGTGGGTAGGTGGGTTACCATCCATTCGACAGCTGCTTGTGGATGAAATTAGTTGAAAACAAATATTTTAAAAAAATAAATTATAACAAGTGATAAATACATGTGCAAAATATCAGATTCCCTGCCTATCATGTTATACAAAACGTTTGAAATAGTTGCACTACTGAATTTCCATACTCCCTATTGCACAATCTATGTACAGTTGAGAAATGAAAAAAAAAAAACTTTACTGTCTCTTTTTATGTGTATTAAAAAATGAATATAATTTTACAAAATGTTTTAAAGATTAATAATGTTTAGAGAGAAACATATATTTTTTTCGAGCTATTGATATGGAGAGGTGAATATTCTAAATTCACTGTTAGTTCCTGATTGTAAAATTTACAAAAGGAAAGTGGGTTTTCATTCATAGAGTGTTCATCCAACACTAGTTTCAGTTTATAATATTTGATAAGTAAATATGACCTATCTCAGTATCTGTTGTTAACTTATTTTTACCATCTAAATCTTATTCACAGTCTAGCTTACCCGAGTCTGATGACATTGTTGTCACGGGTGTTTGTGTACGGTGCGCCGTTGGAATGAAAATTAAAAGAATATACAGACGCAAAATGAAATTGCCTTATTTCTCCAGGAAAAAGATATTAAAAGACAATGCGGCATTGTGGCAACGCACTTTGTAAAAATTACGCACTTTGAAAAATTTTTTGAAAGTGCGTTAAAATTGGGACAAAATCAACGCTCTTTAGTCTTTATTATAAATAAACAAAATTTTCAAAGTGCGTTAAATTTGGGACACACTCAACGCACTTTGAATTTTTTTTTCAAAGTGCGTTAAGAGTGTTCATAAACATTTTTTTACCACGGGGACTTATTACGCACTTTGAAAAAAAATATGTAAAACAAAAAATTCTAAACTTAGAATTTAGTAATTGGGAAAATTATATATTACGGAAGCGTATTAGTGCCACTTGCACACTTTACTTTTTTTTAATTTCTACACTTTTTAAAATCTGTGAAATTTACACTTTAATCTGTAAATTTTACACTTTAATCTGTAAATTTTACACTTTAATCTGTAAAATTAACACTTTAATCTGTAAATTTTACATTTTAATCTGTAAATTTTACACATTAATCTGTAAATTTTACACTTTAATCTGTAAATTTTACACATTAATCAGTAAATTTTACACTTTAAAGTGTAAATTTTACACTTTAATCTGTAAATTTTACACTTTAAAGTGTAAATTTTACACTTTAATCTGTAAAATTTACACTTTAATCTGTAAATTTTACACTTTAATTTTTTTACACATTAATCTGTAAATTGTACACTTTAAAGTGTAAATTTTACACTTTAATCTGTAAATTTTACACTTTATTTTGAACAACATGAACTGCAATAGGTTATGATCGAACGGTCGATTTGTGATGTTTTACCTCTGACACTTGAGAAAAAGTATTAAACTGAGATGTTTACAATTGTTTGTATATTTTTATTTTACATGTACTCGTACTTGTTTATTAGTATATGATAAACAAAAACTATTTCCTCATGGGTCTCGTAATTTTACCCAGCATAAGATATCAGGGATCTGCTTTTGTTTCAGTATATATACATGTGTTTCTTTAGTTTTACTATAGTGTAACGAAAAGTAAAAATATATATCTCAAAGATTTTTTTATATGCAGTTCAGATTGATATTACGTTTCCGTAATTATCTTGCATGATTAATGGTCTTTTGGCTTTAAAATGTGCTACTGGGAATGTGTGTAGTTGCTAAATTGACTATGTGAATAAACAAATAAGGTGTAAAATTTACAAATTAAAGTGTAAATTTTACAGATAAAAGTATAAAATTTACAGATTAAAGTGTAAAATTTACAGATTAAAGTGTAAATTTTACAGATTAAAGTGTAAATTTTACAGATTAAAGTGTAAATTCTATTCAAAGCATAGAAAAATCAAAATCGCTCACTTTCACATCCTGAATTAAGTAACCTCATCACCGAAGAGTTATCAAAAAGATTCAATTATTTATCATACCTACGATTTGCAAGAATATTGACCAATCCATACACATTTTTTCAAAGTGCGTTAATATGGTCGATATTAATGCACTTTGAAAAGAAATTTTATTTTTTTCAAAGTGCGTGGTCCCAAATTTAACGCACTTTGAAATTTTTTTTCAAAGTGCGTAATTTTTCAAAGTGCGTTGTAACACGACATAAACAGAACTAAATCATTTTTGGTCCCTTAGACTGCCCCACGAATCCTCTACAACACACTTCCCCTGCAAAATACCAGACCTTCCATCCACTCTGTTGACAATCCTTCAGAAGGTCTTGATACTTTAGATTTTTCCTCTCGTATACGCGTCGTCCATCTTATCTTCCCATGGCACTGTTAATTCTAAAATAATTGTCTGTCTCGAAGCCATTGACCAAAGGACTACATCCTGCCTCTTGTTTGTGGCTAGTATTTCAGATGGGAATACTAATCTTTCCTTGGGGTCTGCCCGCATTTGCCGCTCTGTTGCTGTCCCCATCAGACCACTTCCTTCAACACTACCTTTATGTCCTTTTTCACCTTCTTTGACAGAGTTGACAAATCTCAGGCCCTCTGTGTTATTCTTTATTCTTTGGCTTTATGATACCTTTCTCCAAGGTGTAAGATATACTGGCTTGGACTCTATCATGTTTCTAAGCGTATCTCCCATCTTTCAAAGCCTCTGAGCATGCTAATAATATGTGTTCCAAGTTTGCTGGTTTTCCACAGAGGACACACTTTGGATCAGCTGTTACTCCCCATGTTACCTGATTAGTTGGGCTGAGAAGAGCATCATAAACTGATCTCAGCTTAAACTGAAGTCTGAGTGGTTCTGTCTTCCAAATATCATTCCAACCAAATTTCACTTGACATGCGTTTTCCTATTTCACCCAGCTACCTTGTTTCTTCACTCCAACTGCTTTCACCATTCTTGCATCTTGCCCCATTGCACACACTTCTCTCTGCACCAAAATGCGTTTCTCTTCCATTGAAGATGCCCCCATTTTGCTGTTGATGTGACATCCAGCCCTTGCTTTCCTATTGCCAGTCTTCCCACAATGTCGCTGTATATCATGCGGGATTCTGCTTCTTCTATAGTTTTCTTTTCTGACCACTTTCTCCCCGTCCTAGTATCTACTTTTGCTGTTTGGACCTTATCGTCTTTGCTGTTCTGTAACATTAAGTGTTAACACACCTTTTTCACCTTGAATTCCCCAGTAATTGACTTTAGAGGTAACTGTAGCTTAGTACCAGAGCTATATAAACTAATGCTGCTGAAACTTTGAGGTACCCCCAGCCATCTCCACAGGTATCTGCTTACAGTTGTTTTCATCCCTTCTACAGTGCTCATTGGTACCTGGTACACCAACAGCGGCCATAGCAAGCGAGGCAGTATTCATTGTTAGTAAATGTATGCTTTATATTTACCGGGCATTCCACTTTTATCCACAGTTTTCATCCAATCATCCAGCTATCTGCATGTTTCTTGCACATTTTGCCTGTCTGTTAATGTGTCATTAAAGATTTGCCCTCAACACTTTACTGGCCTCTCTGAGACTGTTGGTATTGCATCTTCATCAATCTTGAATCTTTCTTCTTTTACTTTTCAATTCTTTAGAACTAAACTACGGGATTTGTTTGGTTTTACTTTCATTCTTGCCCAAGTGATAGCTGATTCAAGTTCTTGTATTGTCCACTTGACTTCAGTAATTGTCTTGGTTGTAACTGTCATTTCATCCACGAATGCTCTGCCAGGTGGTTGGCGCACTCCGGACTTTATCCATGGCCCTCTGCTCTTCTTCTCTACTGACTTGACTATCATTTTCATTGCTGCTGAGAACGGGATTACGGATATGGAACATCTTGTGACTTTACCGAGTTCTAGGCGTTGGCATGCTGATGTGTAATCCTGTACTGCAAGTCTCAGCTGAAGATGGTCAAAATAGTCTTTTAAAACTGCCCTTGTCTTCTGCTATCTTTCGAGTGTCAGCTCAACAAGTTTAAGGGGAACTGTCCCATATGTATTTGCTAGATTCAGCCAGAAGACTGATAACTGCCCTTTAGACTCCTTGGTTTCCCGTTTTATCCGTGTCAGTACACTTGTATGCTCAATACATCCTGATACTCCGGGTACTACTCCCTTCTGCACAGCAATATCAATATACTGATTTTCCAAGCATCTAGCTAGACATTCTCCTCGCTAAAACTGCAAGGTATATTTTCCCTTCTACGTTCAGAACTCAGGAATGATATTGTCTTAAATTGTTTCTGTATTTCTGATTTTCTTCTTTGGAAATAAAAGAGACCTCTGCTATGTACCAGCTATCTGCCAATCGACCTCTCCTCCAAACAATTCTTATCAGTTTCCAGAGGCGCTTTGGCAACCGTTGACAGTTCTTATAAACTTAATACGGAACCCAATTTGGTCCTGGTGCTGATGCTGCTCTAGCTTTCTGAATTACATCTCACACTTCTTTTAGCTTTGTTGGTAATTCTCTCTCTCTCTCCCCTAACTCTTCCTCCCTGTGTGGATTACTGTGAATCTTCCTCAAATACTTCTCATCGTCTTCCTTCGAAGATTCCAATGATCCGGAACCTTTATTTCCTAGCAATCGTGATGTAAACTGGAATGGGCCTGCGATGAATCTTGCTCTTGCCGTATTTTGCTGTTTCATCCTACGCCTGCTTCTCTCTGCTCTTCTTGCTATCTTGAGATGTTCCCTGATGTTATATCGTAACTGTTATAGAGCTGGTTTCTCCTCTTCTCCAGCCTTCCTATATTGCTTACGAAGCTGCCACAGGTCTTCTCATCTTACCTATTTCCCCCTTCTCTCTCCTGTTCTTCCTTCCCTCTTTTGGTGACCTTTTCTTTTGTTCTGCGCCAAACCTATGCTGTGTATAATTGATGTTATAGCCTACGCTGTATATGTTGTGTTCAGAATTGCATCCACATCTTGATCAAACCGTTCTCTCACTTTTATTGTTACCGTTTGACCATTTCACTTTCCTCTTTCTTATAATGTTGTCAGTAACCCTGTTGTCTCACATCTCTTCTTGCTGTTGATTGCTGCTTTGCAGTTGGTTGTTGTCCTGGTTGTCATGGCTTTCACTGTTTGAAGCCTCGTTATTTCCTAACACATGGAGGCTGGGGTCCCTGTGGTTTTCGTCCTGAACAACTTCCTCCTCTGTCTCAACAAGTTGCCCTGTGCGTTGTGTTAGCTGCTGATCTGGTTCACATCCCATAATCCCCATGTGGATTTTAAGCCCCATTTGATGTTTGCATTCTTCATTCTTTCCCACAGTTGCATACATTTCCGCTGTTAGTAATCGTCATCGTTTTTCGTTGCCTGGTTGTATCCTGATTTTCCATCCCAACAGGTCGCTCATCCTCCCCCGCTCTCCCGCGACCTCAGGGGTGTCTAAGTATGTATCTGTCCATAACGTGATGAAATGGGTCCTTCCTCACAAAAGTTGTACTTTGGCCTGCTGAGCCTCCACATCCCTGATCCCAGTCACTACTGATTGTCTCCTGTCTCTCCAGGTTGTCACTAAACTTTTCTCAGTTGTCATATAGACTTTCCCGGCTCTCACTGGTTTTCCAGATAATATTACTTGTATACACCCTGATGGAAAGATGCATGGTTCCATCCTCAGGTGGATCTTCCTTTATCGGCTGTTTCGGCGCTGTCCACTACAGCCTCCAGAGGTGCGCTGGCTAAGGGAGATCAGGTCCCAGCCTGGAACCACTTGGCTCTACATCACCGCTGTTTTAATGTCTCACTACTGTTTATTGACATCACAGCTATTCCATTTTACTGTCTATCTCACTATAAGATTTTAGACAAATGAATATAAAATTAGGTAAGAACGGGGCGCAATTGGTACCCAGGGAAATTCCAATAGACTGTTGGAAAATCTGGTCTCCAAAAACCACACATATATTTACAATCAGAAACTCACGCATTTTTTTAAAATATCAACTTCAGCGTACTTGTGTGTAAAATCAGAATTTTTTAACAAAATTTTGCAAATGACCAATAACAAGGTGAGTAAATTCACGAATTCCATGATGTCATATTTATCCTGAGGAGCAAGATTGTTACCACACTTGTTATACAAGTATCAGCAAGTACAGTACATATAGACATGATAGAGATATTGACAATAATGTAACAGCTGGTTTAGGTTGGGTTACAAGAATTTCATTATACATGTACATTAATCTGTAAAACACAGGTGAACTTACACATGTGCATTAACAAAATACTTTGGTTATAACTACAGTTTACTATCGTTAACCTATAAGTATACCATACTCCATCAACGTTTTTACCATTGTAAATCAAATCACTTTTAACTATAGATTCAAATTGTTTAATTCTATGTTCTCCTGTTCCTTAACGCACATCTCTTATATTAAAATATTACGTCTATATTCACATATATATATATTTTTCACGTTTACATCTAAAAGAATTTGAGCATTAAAAAAGGAAAAGAAAATCCTTAGTGAAGCTTAATGGTTCATGTAAATCAGAGTATCAAAGTTCTTTTTGTTTTGTATATAAGATCTTTCCAACTTTTGTTTATATTGAATATATATTATGGTATACCGGTATTAAAAAGCAGAAAAAAATTTACATACAAAATAAAAATAAGTTTAGTACTAAGAGTTCAAAATTAAGTCAAAACTAATGGAATTATAAGGTAAATGATTTCACGTAGCATATGCTTCATTTAATGAAAAAAAATATCTTAAGGGATGGGATAATTTCTCTATAAAAAATCATTGCTCATGATTAAGACTAACATCTTATCATATCAAAGATTTAAAGCAATCCGTGCATGAATAGATAGTCATGTGTCTGACATTAATGAAATATAAAGGGCTGGCACTTTCGTGAGGATTTTATTTTAATGCAAACTCAAAATGCTTAAAGTGACTACTACCTAATTTTCAACATGAAACAAGTATGTTTACTTGCATTGATTCCCCTTCTGCAGACGTATGGATTTTCCGTACTCACAGACAACAGCAATTCGTCTCTACTAGACATGGGCGAACTGGAGTCGAAAAATGTCGACGTTTTCCGACAGCTCCTCAACCAAGAAACGATCATCAGAATGGCTCTAGTAAAGAATGTTCATGCATTGATGAAGGACATGATCGAACTTAAGCAGAAAATGGAGACTCTGGAGTCTGCACAACAGAAAACAGACATAGAAATTGATAAAATAAATCGTGTAAAAATGGCGACTCTGCAACAGGAAGTAAATAAACTTAAACGTGAAAACCAGAAACTTGAACTTGAAAATAAGAGATATGAAGATATTTTCAATACTATCAAAGAAAACTTTACGCAAATCAACGAGAATTTGAGAGAATTTGAAGAACAGTTTGAGGAGCGGAGAAAAGAATTTGAGAAAAATACGAGTTTGGTACTTGGCGATCTGAAAATTGAAGTTCGTTACCTTTCAGTCACCCTTTTGGATTTAAATAAACATACACTGGAATTAGACAAAAGTATTCCTAAAATGATAGAGAGAAAATATGAACAATTATCTACAAAACTTAACAATTCTTTGGAAACTATGAATAGTGATTTGCTGAAAGCCAGCAATAAGATATCGCGGTCAGTAACTGATCTGAAACATTCACAGAATGCTGCTTTGTCTTCTATCTTTGGTAAGATATTTGTGTCTGCTTTTATTTAAACATTTCTTGTAAATTTATTCTCGCTACTTTTAACTTTACATGAATTATATATCTTTAAAAAAATGTTGACAGGAGATTTGAATGTTTGAATGTACATATATCATTATCTGTCAACAATTTCTTTTGTGTATTTTTTCCAGTTGACTTTAATGCATCAATTGACAACATGAAAGCAGAACTTAAACAGAATCAGTATGACCAACTGAAGCTCTCCTCTACAGTGTCAGCCCTCGAGGTGTTCCGATTGAATGTGACGAACAATCAATGTGGTAAATGCTTTTACATTGCAAATAATGAATCATTATAATTTTCTTCTGCTAATCCGTTTTCAAGATTTAAAGACAAATTTTTTCTGGAAATGTCTTTCTTTGCAGATTTCGAAATACAAATTTTGCAATTTATATCTAGGTATATAGAGATTTGTCTTCTTTTGCCTTTTACATTATATAGGAATATTCTTTAAAAATCTTCCTCTCAAGAAAAAGCCATAATAAATCATAATCTGTCATATTTTTGATTGAATTTTATACTAGCATTCTTTTTATATCTAGGCATACTGATTTGTCTTCAAGTTTTTCATTCATTGTTTGTTTTCTTAAACTCAAATCTTTCATATTTTCATTGAATTTTATGCCTCTTTTTCGATTAATTGATACATAACTGTAATCCGTCAAAACATAAACAGCTGCAAAATATGCACAATGTACTACCTGGATGGTCTAGCAATAAGTAGAAATTAGAAATAATTACATTATTTAAAATTCAATACTGTTTTACATTTCAGATTTAACCAAAAAAGTAGTCTTCACCGCTGGAGTGTCTTCTGCTAGTTCTTCCTGGAACAGTGGGACGTTAGTGTTTGATAGAGTCATGTACAGCATTGGAGGGGGATACGACTCGAGCACAGGGGTCTTTACTGCTCCAGACAGTGGACATTATGTGTTTTTTCATAATATTCAAGCCTACGATACAAAGTATGTCATGACAGAGATTGTGTTAAACGGTAACCCAAAAGTGTTAGCTTTGGTTGCATCTGGTGGCAAATATAAAGCCGGTCCAAATCTAGCGGTAATGCACCTCTCGATTGGTGACAGGGTTTGGGTTAGGCGCTATGGAGGTAGCAGTTACTATACGGAAGGAAAAGCACCGGCCACCACTTTCTCAGGTTTTAAAATATAAGATACTTTTTATTTTATACATTTAAAAAATTGTATAATTAGAAGAATTTTAAGTAGCTTACTCATGCATTACCTCTTTAAGTTTGCTTTTGATATCCCTTAAAAGGACCCGAATGTGATCTAAGCGTTCTTGTTATCCTTGCGTCTAAAACTATACAGGCGGATGGTGAGACGAAGAGCTTTAAGGAGGATCAAAGGGATCTAGAATATCCTCACAACTTGTTTGCAGTAAAGTTTTAAATAAAAAATTTTAATTTCATAAATAAACTTTTAATTTCATAAATGTAGAAAACTAAAAAGTTAGAAATTGAAAATCACTGATAAAACAAGTTTGATGTTAGGCTTTCTTGTAAAAATAAAAACGCTGAATGACCAGCAAATTTTTTTTTTTCAACTAGTTAAACAACCAGAACGTTGCTTTTGTCTATCGCCAAAAGCCAAAGATGTACCGAAGTTGTTATGACATTTTTCTTGGGCACTCATTTTCAGTTTTTCAATATCTCTATCAAATCTCTATCACACTCGTTTTATTATCCCCCCCCCCCGCTTTAAAAATGAGAGGGTATATTATATACGATCACTGAGTCTTTCTGTATGTACATCCGTCCGTCCCTCTTATATGCAACCCTCTTATACCACTGAATGAAATTTAATGAATCTTTCACAGAATTTTTGTTACATATTGCCATTGTACACCTTTTATTTTCCTTTTTGATCCGATAACTATTTCGGGTTTCCCATGGCAAAACATGGACACTGTCATTTTTTTCTACAATATTGAAGGATCTCTTATCCACAACTTCTATACCACTGAATAAAATAAATTTAGTGATACATCAAATTTCACAGATTCTTTATTACATAATTATGTCATTATGCACATCACATTTTCCTTTCTGATCTGACACACTGGACTTTGCCATTAACCATGGGAAGTACAGTACCATTTAGTGAGCTCAGTTCTCAATGTAACTCTTTTTAAAATTTCACTCTTCTGAGTCCTCATCTGTGCTATCTACCGTCTAGTTTTGAAGCATTCCAACAATATTTTTGAAAGTTAGTACATGTAGATCTAGAGTACATATCGTTGGATTTAAGAGAAATCGACGTGAAAAGTTCATACTTTCGCACATTTTACTTTCTGGCATCTGTCCATCTTTTGACTTCCATGTACATTCATTTGGTATTTTATGTAGCCTTTATATCAAGTCTGGCAGTCAATCAGCTTGGTAACAACCCTTTTTGCAAGTGAGGGGGAAGAAAGTGAGTGAACTTGCAATTAAACAACCTTAAACGTCACTTAATCAATCTTAAATCTTGAATAAACAGATTTAATTAAGAAAAAAATTAGACCATGTTCATATAAATTACATGTATAATAAAACTGCTATAAAAATATGATTAAAAAAATAAGTGCCAACATCATCATAACGTCGTTGGTTGCCTTGTTGCGATAGACAATACCTTATGTTGTGTTTGTATGTATATTTTGAAATGTATTTTGTAAATTACATCAGATATATACATTGTAAACCAAAATAAATAGGGATTCTTGTAATACATGTATACTAGTACTTCGTATTTCCTAATATTTCTGCGTTTGCTCTGCTTATATATTTTATTTTCTCAATAGACTTTGAGCTTGATTATTGAATTGTTTGTTTTAATCTTATTTTAAAATGTCATGAATAAATTTAAAGATTTCTGACTTAGTGCATTGTGGTCTTTTATACAGCTTTGATTCATCAAGTACATTTTGGAGACCAATTCATTTAAGATGACACAAGTAACTTATCAAGAGGTATCTTTTTTTCCCGGCCGCGACTGACCCAGTCGATAAAATGGGTAGCAACTGTTCCTTCGCTATGCGCTCGGCACTTTGAAGTGAAAGTTGCGGGTCCTTCGGATGAGACCTTAAAAACCGAGGCCCCATGTCAGCGGTAGGCGTTGGCACGATAAAGATCCCTCACTGCTCAATGGCCCTGAGTGCCGAGTAAAGGTCAAAATTTGAAGCCCTTCACCGGCATACGGTGACGTCTCCATATGAGTGAAAAATTCTCGAGAGGCACGTTAAACAATATATACAATCAATCAATCTTTTTTCCCCGATTTCTTATTCAATCATTCTCTTTCATTGTACAGTTTGTTTAACAGAGGAAAATTTTTCAGTATTATTGTACAACACTATAGAAAGTAAATCAGATGTGGTTACTTAAAAACTCCAAGAAACTTTTAGAAAATTTGAAATGACCAAAGTCAATAACATCAAAACAGACGACTTTTCATCATTTTTTTTTATATTATAGACATCTGTTGTATTTTTTAAAACGAGTGGACTATAGTTCTTTTAAAGGCTAATTTTTTTTTTTTAAATCTCATTGTACACACAAATACTACGAGGTTGCTAATAAAAAAAAGATGCCCGAATTTCTGATTGACAGAATGTTGTTTTTGGAGACTTTTTCTTCTGTCAATCTATCAAAATTTCTGTTGGTACCAAATATTGCCCTTAGGGATCTACATTGTATTGTTGTTTATATACAATCATAAGATAAAGAAAAAAACCTGAAGCGGCTTTAACTCGATTGGATACTAATATATCATTAAGCGAAAATAGTTACTTAATCAGTACTTACATTCATATATGTCAGCTCAATATAACACATTGAACATGAATTAAAGATACCACAGAATATAACATACCTGTTTCGTATTTGTAAGAAACTTATGATAATTCAATTTTTCTATTGTCAATTTTACATGATGATACTTACAAAGCAATCTTTTAAGGTATTTTCAGGAACAGTAGAGCCAACTACTTATTTACTTATGTAATAATTATAATTTCAAGTAGCACAAACTGAATTTGTTCAAATCTATTTCAGGGAGCAGAGTAGGGTCATAATAGGAGATCTACGTTTTGCATGCATGGGAATATACAAAAAAATATTTAAACAATGTTTTTAAGAATAGCGATACCACATTAAACTGTATTTAAATGTATTACATTACAGAGTTGTGTGTTTTCTATTTTCATACTTTCAATAAAGGACACCAGTTGTGAACTGGACAAGACTAAAATTGCGGATCAAATAAGTACAAGGGAACGATCTGTAGACATTCTGCTGTTCAGTTTAGCTTTGAATCTAATAAGTTTCATTGACATTGATGTATTTCCATAATGTGTAGATTCCAGGTTTTTTAATGACATTATCCCTTTGGGCTCGGGTGGGGCAACCAAATAAATGGTGTCATGTAAACAAAAGATGCACTCGTTTAAAGATCTTTAAATGTTTACTTTGGAAAAACAGTAGGGTATAGGTATGTAAACAATCTTTGTTGTCAATGGACTTCTTTTTAAGTGAAATAAGGAAAATATACATCAAATGTATGTAAAGAAAAATGAATGTTTTATGTTTTCTAAACAGTTTATTATTTATTACAAGGAATATACATATCAATATTAAATATTTGTAAATCTCTTCTTATCCTTTTATAATCATAAATATTTTATATGAAAGGAACAAAAATTAAAATGGTGATAGAATGAGGTTAAGTAAATGAAAAAGGATAATGTTAAAGGAAAGCAAGGTGTTGTTCCTGTAATCTATCTGGTAAAGTTTAAATGTAATAACAATCAAGATGTGAAAATCTGTGAATAGTTGCTGAATATTACTGTTTTGTATGATTAATTTGTATTTATCAGATGTTGAATTAGGGAATAAGCCATAATCAAAATCCCAAAAGGACTTTTATCATTGTTTTAACAATGTTTTGCACCCTAAAGCTTAACGTCAAAATTAGATGTTGAGATTGTTAGCCTAATTGATTTTGATTATCTTCTTAAGTTTGTTATTGGGATTCACACATCCATCAAAGTGACACTGGTTCTTTTGTCGCTAATTTACCGCAAAAAAAAAAAACTAATGCTAGATTTAGTTACTGTCCACAAAAAAACTCACAAAATCAACAATCAAAAGAAAGCTATAAAAATCATGGAGAAATGAATCTAAAACAATTGCACATATTATAGAAGCCGAAGTCTTTCATTGAAATAGTTTGCGATTTTTTTTCATATACATTTCTCGATAAAGCTTATAATTCAATTTTACTAAACATGCTATTTTTCAGGCATATTTGATTTATTCGCTCGAAAAATTGTGCAAAAAATTTAAATGCATAAAGCTTTGAAGTAATAAATAACAAAATGAAATAACAATAATAGAACTCGTAAATTTACTTTACCATTGATCATTTGCAAAACCATTTGTGTGTATGTTTGTGTGAGAGGGTGTGTGTGTGTGTTTGTGTGAAATCATTCATGGTATCCTACAATTTGTCGGTATTCCTATCAGTATTGATTGCTCCCCGTAATTAGCAAACCTATTTTTGTATTCATATGAAGCAGAATTTATCAAAAGAAGAAAAAATACTTGCTGTGGCCATCAACTCGACATTTCGATATATTGACGACATATTAGTCACTTCTTTTCATTTGACGACCTGATATATCCCGGTAAATTTAAAATAAGACACCAGAGAGAGAGAGAGAGAGAGTCTGATGACATCTGCTAAACATTTTAATGGTAACTTAATAACAAAATGCTATGATTAACATGATTACTTAAACTTCTTTTTACTCAACTTTCCTTACTTATGTAGCAACATAGGCTAAATATGTCACAATATACCCTGTATTTGGGGTTTATATCTCCTAATTGGTTTCATGTTTGATTTGAGACATGTTATTAAATTGTACGAGAAAAACACGCTGATGAAGCAAGAATATCAACAATTTCGTTTTAAGTCTTCTTTTTGCAAGTTCTAAGGTCGATAAAGTGACCTCTTCACTGTAAATACAATTTATGATTAAAACAAATACTTACTGACTTTTTTTTTCATAATTGTTAGGCCAATATTTACACACAAATTTCCATACAGGTTTCTCCGCTTTCCTGATCATGACAAAATGCACACAGTGGAAGTGCACTGTCGGCAGGGGATTCTCACTCCTCCATGGCATCCGAGAATTGGTATACTTTTTTCAATATTTTACTTGAATAAAGTGGGGGAAGATCTTTTTAAGGTAATATGACGAGGAACAGGAATGGTTCAAGATGAAGTAGGAAAGCATACGACAATGGGCATACTTTAGTCAAAACTGATAATACTAGTATCGGCTTCTTGTTTACATTTTCTAAAAATTTAGTTCAAAGATATACTTTGT